AATGAAATCATTCAGCAATATGCATCGTGTCTTCTTTAATTGAAGCTTCATTTATAATAAAATCCTTCTAATACTATAAAGGCGAATATTTGTTGTTGATGAATGTTTGTTACGTTTTTACGTAAAAACTAAACGTACTGAAAACTTGAACGGTTTATAATATGTTATCTGGAATAAAGAATATTTTTTCAGAAATGGCGTTCTGTGGTCTTGAAATTTTCCTAGAACTTGGACAGTTTTATAGGTCAGAAAAAATTACTAATTTTGAAGCGATACGAAGTTTGCAGAGTCAGCTATCTACCTATATAAAAATAAATAGCTGTCCGTTAGTCACACCTAAACTTGAGAACGGCTGGTCCGTTTTGGATGATTTAGGTCTTAAAATGTTCATTGAAGTCCAGGGAAGGAATGAAAGGTCAGAAAGTTGGTTATGTATTTTAGAGGCGGTGCAAAGTTTGCGCGGTCAGCTAGTTCAATATAATTAAGCAATTTACGGCTACGCTGTTTTATTTTAATTAACACCAGAGTTCGCCTCCGTTCCTCTTTCTTGCTGGGGAAGCATATAAATAATTTACACTGGTAAACATCTAGTGAATGACTCGGTGGTAATTATAATGAATACCTGATAAATTTTAATGGTGCTGGTACATTTAAGGTTAATTGGTATTGTAATTCAATGAAATGTAAATCTCCATGAGGGTGAATATCAAAGACCTCGAAGTCATTAGTATTGTTATTTACAACTTTTTGCCCACTTTACGGCCATTGAGCACTAGTTAATATAAGGTAAAGGTGATTTGAACTAGGTTCAATATTTTGATACTAAAGATAACTAAAGTAGGTATTATTTATATCTCACTGGGAAAGCTACTAACATATTTAAAAAAAATCTAACTTACAAACCTATACGTCAATATAAACCGAACATTTCCAGGACAAAACTAAGAAAAATGAGATATCGAAGAAAAGGGGAAACATACCCAATATTTTTCGTAATAAAGGTATGCGAATAAAAATAGAACGCTTGGCGAGAACAAGCGAATTCGGCGCCACATCCATTTTATTGGAGACTAGGTATCGCAAAAGCACTTCTATGTATACTTTTCCAATATAAACTGACCTTATAAAACCTAAACTTTTGTATGGAAAGGGAGTTCATATTAATCTGGGGGGAATTTATTGTAGAGGTAGGTACACCTGACAATTTTAGGGCAATGTCATAAGAGCGGAAAGGTCAATGCGATGTCGTGAACTCTTGCTCTCGTGTCGACATTGAGTCTACAAACATTACCTCGATATAATACTGTGTGAACAGCCGTTTGTTTCTCATGACAACTTACTCAACTATTATAAATATTGCCACTTTGTATAGCACTTGGTTCATTCTATACACATAAATATGTCACGCCTCTATTCCTCGCAGGATTAAAGAGAAGAAACATTTGTAACCGACTAATCGAGCCTCCATCTATACTAATATTATAAAGAGGTAAAATTTGTAAGTTTGTATGTAGGGGATAATCTTTGGAACCGCTGGTCGGATTGCCAAAATTCTTTCACCGATAGATAGCTACAACGTTCCTGAGTGCTATAGGCTATAAAACATCACACTAGAAGTAAACGGGGCCGAGCAGCGGGTGAAACCGCGCAAGAGTAGCTAGTTAAGCATATTTTGATTGTGACAGACATGTTTTTTTTTATACCACTTTTATGGGGCTAAACCCAGGAATCACACAAGGGCTTGGCCGACAGTCATACTTACAATCATTTGATCAACCAGAGAGTAAATAGTAAAGAACTTGATCATATTACTAGAGTACCTAGGAATAGAATTGGATCTAACTCCAATTTACGTAAAGCCATAATAGTTCCGAACTTAGTTTAGTACCACCAATGAAACCTAGCTAACAACGCCCCAAGTCCATTGGATTTAGACATTAACTTACTCATCCAAATATTACTATTAGGAATAGATCTTCTACAAGTCTCTTATCTTAATAATTCATAGAAAAATAAACTCTAATACATCGTTCTTAAAGAAAGTTAATAACAAACGTACTTGGCTTACTTTATGAGGAAATAATCTATTATTGCTGGCTAGACAAGGAAAACCTGAGAAAAGAATATAACACAAGCAATTACTGGAATGCTACTAAGGTTAATTGTGAAGTAAAAAAGGTCCATATAAATAAATAACCGACTACCTTAAACTGTCAAAAGTCTCTTTATTTCCAAATCATACGATTAAAAATTGTGTAACAATTTGCTTGCGTAGGACTGATAGTGCACAAGAATGAGGTAGATACCCACTACTTCCACTGCATATTGATTAAGATGCGATCTCAGAATGCAAACCAATCAAAGTGAAGCTTAATAGTGGCAACCAATTGATCCAGGCAATTGGTCCTATCAACTCTCCACAACTTAAATCAAAACAATCCTCGTACTACGCGATTGCTGTCAATATTTGCTATTAACTAATAATTCAGTTCCATTTTCCAATTGCAATTTGAAACAAATTAATCTGCATACAGTTTACAAACATCGTTTAGTTAGTTAAGCTCTAATATTACGCATGCCAAATACATCCTAATAAAGTTACATTTATAAATTATCGCAGCAAACGAGAAAGAATGAGGTATTTTATCATTAAATTCAAATTCAAAAAAAGATTAAACCAATTTATTCGGAACGCCACAAAATTATGCAGATTTTAATCTCAAAGAAAGCCGGTGTGCAATGGAACACATTGGGTAATGTATAATGAGATTAAGAACTGCACCGGTTTACAAACCAGGTACCTACCTACCTTGATCTTTATAAGTAATCATTGAGAAAACTTTACGAGTTGGCAAACAAACCTGAACAGATTTTGATGTAAGTTACTGCAATTAAATGATTTGCAAACCTGTTGTAAATAATTTAATCACATTGATTGGCGCTCGTTCAATTTCTAATTGAATTCTAGCCATTCATGTTATTTTAATTACGATAAACGGTACTTATATAGCTGATACTATTACGATGTTGGCATAATCCTATTTATCGGAGTGATAAATTCGTTAACTTATTTGTTTATCAGCAGTAAAATATAAATAGCTATAAATATTTTTTTTTTTTTGTTCGAAATAAAAAGCTATGGTGAAGGAATCGTTCATAGCAAACCCCAGCGTACGGACTTGATGCGCCTTAAAAAGTACCGACAGGACTGAGGTTCAGCTGGGTCTGCGCAATTATGCCTCGAAATGGCACAGGAGAAGGAACGGGGTAGTTTTTAGCTAGTAAGAGTCTGACACTCTCTCACGCAGGACAAAAGTAATTTGATGATTATCCCCCCTTAAAAAAGTATGAGAAATATGACAAGTATATTAAGAACTCAAACTTGTTACAAAACTTTACCTAACGACATCGTACTTGTATTACACAAATATCGATCTACATAGAATTTAGAAGACATATCGCAAGCCCATAATTACGTGTCGTTTGTGTTATATGCAACGAGCAGAGATATCAAACTCAGCCACCAGATTAAGAGGCACTTCACCGCAGATGCTTATTAAGGTGAAATTGCTTGTAGTTAGCATTGTGACACATCGGTTATGCTTAGGTATTATTAAAACTATCTCGTTGTCTGTTATATTGTAAGTAAATTAGCTATACTCAATGCCCATGTCATAATGTTAAATTAAAATACGTCATATTTATCGCACATAGCTCATAATTTGATTTGTTAAATTGCGAATATCCTATCTAGACAGAATAATAGTTTATAATTATTAGAAACCCATTCTGCGGATCACCAAACAGAAATAGCTGTAAAACTACTTATGAAATAAACCTACTGACTAATCTCGATGAAAACTAAACATCTAGCGGAAAACCAATTCCGTTTATATATACGATACGCAATCACTGTTTGACAGAACGAAACGTTCCGTTTTAATATTGGAATAAAAACTTCCAAACGTGACGTCATAGCAAAGACTTAACAAACACTTCAGATATCCCAAATATCTGAAGCCAAATAATGTTACGTTAGCAAAATTTTTCGCAATAGCAAACAGTTACCATGCTCGTGGCAGATTTAACTGAGAAGTATCGCATGAATATTTTTGGCATTTTTAGTTTTCAGTCACCTGGACCAATTCGCTGGCAAACTTCGTTTCACACTTGACTGGGAATAAATTCGTTAACGGAATCGCGTAACGCTAAGGTGTTACCGAAAAGTACTTTGATCCGAGATTGCTGATCTAAAATTAAAATTCTGCGAACGAATACTTCTTAATTCCCTCGAAAATTTACCATTTTATTTGTTGTGCGGTTAAAGCTATTCTTAACATGATATGAAAAAACATGTGTTTTTAGAATACAGACTAAAAAATACTATGGGAATTGGGAAAACATTGTAGAACATGTCTAGAAATGTTTACCTCATTCCTTAAGTATGTTATATCTATTAACAGATAATAGATATAACATACTTAAGGCAGATAAGTAAGTAGTCTTCAAGATATAAGATTAGTAGTTACAAATTATCAATGATTTTTTTACGTCGATTTTTAATACGTCGCTCAACAGCAGTATCTATACAATTAAGTTTTTACAACTATCATACAAAGCCGACTAGTCTGAACGATTTAAGTGAAATCATGCATATTTTTCACTTTTTCCGAACAAAAATACAACGGTACCAACACAATACATTACTATCACTTTACATTGCGTACTACCGTAACTAACGGACCGTATTATAGCAACTGAATTAATCAGTTATATTCGTGCCAAGCTTTTGAAAAAGTACAAAATAATCAATCATTCTGTCATCGCAGGTGGTCTAAGAATGATGTTCGTTTATTTTAGACCTATCTTTCGTTCCTCATCATAACAATGCGAGCCAAATAGCTAGCAGACGGTCTATTCGTAAATACTCATTCAGTTTGTAAATTATGCGTTATGTCCGCATTTTTGTGCAGTGCATCGAAAATAGAAATTTTATTACAATGGGAAAAAAGAACGAAGATGGGTATTGCAAGTTTTTCGTGCGATTGTACTCATACCTTTTTTATTGCTGGTATATTGTATTTACTAGCAGGCGTTTTGATTTCGGGAAATGTTAAATAGTACAAGTAATATAGGTCTCTTATACATTTCTTATGAATGATAAAAGATAATCCTTAAATTAAATATCGCGCGAATTACCCAACGCAACGCTAGGGTAAAAATCGTTCCCTTTTCTATTTATCTTCTCTTGGCTAGACCAATGTTTTTTCGCTGGAAAAACAATTCTCCAATCCATCAACCGCTGATCTACTAGATATATCTACCATATTTGATATAATCAGATGTATATTTAAATTAAACCATTTCGATACATATTCTTCCGAAAGCACTGATTTGTTTTTTCATTACATGTTGTGAATAAGCAAGCAAAGAGTGATGTGTAATGATAATTTCCAGTTCAATAAGGTCGCGTCCAACAGATTCTGATAATCAACGAAGACTAAACTACACAGAGTATCTTGATGAAGCAAACGCCTCCAGCTTCATTATTCTCATTTAACTTGAACCAACTAATCCGAACCAAAGTTTGTTTTATGACAATCGGCTGACAGCACCGCGCCGACATCGACAATCGGTTTCACAACACTATTGATCTAAAACTGTATCAAAGGATACTGAAATAGATTAGCAATTGCTATTTCTAGAATTATTTATCGATATCGATTTGATATTTGCGGTATTACTCGTAGAAGAGGTATTACACAAAATGTGAATCGAATTAATTGTTTCGTTTATTTATAATTTTGAAACTGATTGTTAAACAGATTCTTGTTTGCTTGTTCATTTAGAACTAGACTAAGAAACAAGTAAATGGCTTTAATGACCGCGCAAGAAAATGACAACCATTTTTATTTTGTTGATTGAATGACTGATTTGATTTAAGCAAACAGGATATTACCATACCTATATGATTATGCTATGCGATGTAGCATATAGTCCAGACGATTTACATTTTATATTCAAACTAAATTGTTACATAGTGAGTTTCTAGAATTTGCCCTTAGAAATTAATACTACTACAGAAACTTATCTGCTACTATCACGGAATCCTTTAGATCGGTGTACATACTTACTGGTCTTTCAACTTAATAACCAACAGATTTCTATGGCAGGTTATTTAACTCTAAATGGTATCCAGTAGTTCATATTACTTCATTTCTAACATAACAAAATTACAGTATACACAACGAACAAGTCCATATCTATTAAACCGATACCCAGCATTTACTGTGGTGAGTTAATTGAATAATTATGTGTTGGGCACAGATCGCAACTGGGGTGTCACGGCCGGAAGAAAGCGGATACGACGGATGTGGGCAAAAAGTTATTGCATTATGGCCGACCGTGTACCCAGATAGGGTTGCCTTGTTTATTATTTTATATGGCAATAAATAACGTCAGCAAATTCCAGCAGGCAAGGATTGCTTTGTTTCATTATACCTACGCACGATATTTTTCTTACGCTGTTAAATTAGATGTAATCAGCAAAAGACGCAAACGTGTGTAGAATTTGCTATCTGCAATGTGGACTAGATCCAACAATGCGCAGAATAAATTATGTGAAATTACTATTCATGCATAGCAACCTTAATTGCGATAAACGTTTGGAAAACACGCGTGACTGATAGGTAAGCATGACAGTATTTTACATGTTAATTAGGTTAAATATTACGATACATTGACAAAGACAACAAATAACAACCATAGTTATTAGTTATTACATTATTATTCATGACAACACTTTAAAATGTAAAATTTTATGTAACAGCTTTTTATAGGTCTAATCTTTGGATTTTATTACAAATTAAATTCGTAGAGTTATATATCTAGTTCATTAATTTTGTTTAAATCTTTTACTTAGAAACGTCTCCAAACGCTTAATATTTTTTAGAAAAGGTAACACGTGTACAAGTTATGTATAACTTCACTTCCATGACACGAGTGTCTAATGATATAATTTAAGTCAATTAAAGCAATTAAGAGCAATTCGCACACAAAAATACTTAGCAGTCCATTTATAAAAATTGATTGTTAATATCTACGAAAGAATGAAAATAAAATCAAAACCTATTTGGTTGAAATATAAAAAAATAAAACAAACTAAATCATCAATAAGACGTTTTATTTATCAACAAATCATTTAACGGTAACATTCGAAATTCGAACAAGTCTATAGAGCATTCTGTAACCATTAATATTATTTACCTATTAAGAAAAAAATAGGCCGAGTGAAAAAAGGTTGATGGACAAATAAACTAAATTCAGTAAGTGATAACTCTTTACGTTGTTTACCGCACAATCTTAATCTGTTTAGTTTCTCCAAATAATCTCTGACATTGAATTACCTATCTTCTATCTTTACGGTTTTCTAAATATAACATCGGCGGCGCGACGCTTACGCTGAGAAAAAGTATTTTTCCTGCCCTAAGTGTCTACGTCATTCGGTCTCTCCGGACGGAGAGGTATAATCACAATTTCGGTGGCGATTACGACTTATTACACTCATCTAATAATATGCAAATTCTAACGAGGCCAGAAAATTATTTTGGACGAGTTTAAAGTCAGAAGTCAGTCTCATTTCAACTTTAAAAGAAATAATGCGTTTTTTAACATTAGGAAGATACTGTTTAGAATTTGGATTTAGCATCATGATCCGAAAAGTTAATCCAACGAAAATCGTGCCTAAATGCTAAATAACAATCGATTAAGTACAGTTAAGCTTGATTTTATAATAACCATTGATTTTACAAACAGTTATTTTCTGACATCATATTATATCCTTGAACGTGCAGGTTTGTGAAGAAGAATTGTCTGATAAAATATGCATTAAGGACTTCAAAATAATTTCATCTTTAGACGCGCAACTGTAAAACTTGCTGACCGGTTTTATATTTGCCGTTAGCTTTAATAGATATTTATATAAATAAAAAAAATATTAATATCGGTTCTATCCACTGTTTATGGAGAATTCATAATTTACATTATATAATAGTGAAAATCCTCTTCATTTACTAAACGTATATAGATAACCACAAAAGATTATTACCGTAGGATCAACGTAGTAAGAAATGGCTCCATTAAACAGACTGAAAATGGCGTAAAATTTAGATCTACGAGTATGATAACACAGAATGAGTAACGTAGTAACATTTTACATAATCAGACAGCTAGAAGTCTGCTTCTTTATGCAAAGTTACGACTTGTGTACCCATTAGAAACCTGGGTACAGGTATTAAGCTAGAGCGCCTGTTGTTAACATAGAAGCAATAAGTTACCCAACGAACACACTTCAAGTTGAAGTAATTAAACTATTAATCAGGCAACCGACGTTTTAAATCACTGTCACCTTGTGAAACAGTCAACTGGGTCTTAGGTAATATATAAATATAATAAGTCCCTTTTCCACAAAGACTTTTTAACTTACAGTCTACCGATAAATACATATATATCTCAAAATGGCAGACACACATATGATATTTAAAATCAATTTTAAAAATAAATAACAATTACGGACGTCACATTAAATGAACACGTGACCCTTGACTTATTTTTATACGAGGTACTGAAATAACCTAAAGTTCATCCTTTTTAAGGTCAGATCACGTTTACCTTTTCAAACTCACACTTAAGGAACAAGGACAATCGTTTCAAAACCCTTGAGTAGGTACCTCCTTTTCCGCAAATTGAAGGGCCATTAGAACTGCCCCTAATTTCCTACATAGCTAAAGATTTATCTTTTCACCGTTTCGTTGGGATTTCCGTGAGGGTCTATAGTAATATTCGGCTCTTATCCTTAGGGAAGTAACTATCGTAAAAGTTATATAAACGCGATTAAGCCAATCTCTTCGTAGCAAACATCTCTGTTATGCCCATCTTTTCCCAATAATCGGTAACACTTACCAAGAAGACCAACTAATCTCTCTTTGATCAGGACTTATCTCGAGGGGCCGCCGGTTATGTATAGACATGTATGTGATTTAATCTTATTCGGAGGGAAAAAATCTTTTTAAGTACTTCAGTGATGTATTACACATCGTAACACACCAGAGATTTATGCCTCAAAATGTTATGAGAAAGTAAAAAAAAACAGAAGCATAACATAAAATTACACTAAGCGTTGACGGAAGAGTAAATGAGACTAATTTCTTTATACAATAAGTCACATAAAATAATGTGATTTAAAAAAATGCGGTTAAACCAGCCACACATGTGATTCACATTCCGCTTTAGAAAAAAAAAGGTATATTAAAAACAGATCAATGCAATATAAAGCGCCAAAAGAAAACGATTTGCTGTTTTCAATATTTCAGTAGATGCATTTGAAAGTACTTATGGTACGTGCCAGGAATTCAGATCATTACGCGCAAAACACGAGTGGAAAAAGTATTCGCGTTCGTGCATGACACATTGGTAACAGAAAAAGAAAAATAAACATTGAAACGTAATACTTCTGCTTAAAGATGAGAACTCAATGACTTTTTATCAGTTCTCTATAGAGCACATCGTTAAAAAAGATGCCACGTTTTTTAGGTTTTTTATTTGGTAACCAAAAATTATGTACGCAATATAATAGGTATACCAAATATAAAGTCAGAAAATAAAAGGAAATACCATAAAAAACTGTTATACAAAGCCCTTCGTGCACCTTGTCGGTTTTTGAGATTACCATTTCCTGTGCCTTCTAATTGGAAAACAAATGCATTATAACTAACTTCCCCTAGTTAAGTGTCTATTGTTCTTCTCTACGCGCAACAGTCTTCAAAATTAAGGTTATCCTGTCCGACTAGATATAGTCGAAAAAGTCATTTAAGAAAAACATAATCACGCTTGTCAGACTCCGCCACGTAGAAATGTTCACTTTGAGATAATTCTTCATCTAACGCTTTATTAATTTCAAACGAGGCATTGCAATGTTTGACACGCTGTCATTTTTATTTAAAACAATGTTAAAATATCAAATGAAAATATAACATGTCATGTTCGTAGCCACCTAATGAGATATTTCGTGAGTTTTACATTAGAATTCCTTGTAATAAATCTTTGAACTATCATAAATAATAACTGGAAGTCATAACATTTATTGAAAATAGAGAGGGAATTTTAACAAGGAATACGAATACCAACATTATCTCGTGTTGTACGACGTCAACGTGCTTTGAAGGCTTAATCAGGAGGCAAAACAGGCATAATGCACGAAACATAAAGGCTAAACTGTATATGTCCGACACAGCCAACAATTTTTATTCATTCCGCACAGAACAACATTCAAAAGAAAGATATGAATTGATTAATCTATTTATTTATTCGTTTATGCACACAAAATACTAAACATTGAAACACAATAAATATAATAACAAACGAGGTACAAATGTACTGCATATCCCAAGAGGAATTCCTTCCTGTACACCTGTCGGCCTGCAGACCAATTCGTATTTCCGTGGGACTAAGTACATGAGAAACAGATTAGAGCGAATATCGAAATGTCTTTCCGATGAAATAACATTTTTCTTTATTTGGCTCTGATCAAACATAACTTCCTATCTCAAAGATAACGATATAACATATGATCTACACTCGTAAGTTGATAAAATTATCAAAAAAAGAAATGTTTTCAACTACGTCGCCAAGTTTTATTTAAAGAAACATGCTATTTCTAAGAAGAAAAATGTTTTCTCTTCATAAAAGTGAGCAAAACATCAGCTGTATACGTGTCTTGCATTCATAAAACAATATTTGTGAGTACGTTCTATGCTAGATGTCTGTCAGACAAATGTATCTAAGTATTAGGAGAAAACTTAGCACTCTATCTCCTAAACAAAGCAACAGTTGGAAAAGTAACTTCGTTTTGAATACGGCACGGACGCTTCAGTAGCTTAGAGTTTCCAACGACCTGTCAAAAGATAGTAGACTTTCGAGTGTTGAGACTGTGAATATTTATAGACATAGGGGGGGATATAGGCATCCCACGAAGACGACATACACATTTTAGTGGAAAACTTTGACAATATTTTACTGATAATAGGTTAATTTACGTTTTACAATACTAGCAGACCCAGCCACGCGTTGCTGTAGCTAAGGTTCGTGTCATATTACATAGGGACAAATAATTTGCAATAAAATAATATTGTGACTATACATTGAGATGTAAGCTATCCTATCTTTCAAGTTGGATCAAAATGCACACGGAATGCAAATCAAATTTAAATCAGTTTAGTAGTTTAGGAGTCCATAGCGTCAAACACGTGACACGAAATTTTTATAACGAAGATTTTACGGGGTATCGTTTTAGAAAAAAGGACGTCGGTACTAATACTCTTTCATCGAATGTACTTACTTTCGAGATAACAATGTTTCTTAGAAAATATCATGACATACCCTTTCAAAACAATACTACAGTGTCTGTTTATCTAGTTTCCAATACACGAACGAACACTTGAATCGTGTAGAATATATTATTTACATATATGAAACCCATTAGCAGTCATCATCACACGAGCCCAAGCGCCAATTACAAGCGGGCAACACCGTCGGAACACGACTAATCTAATCTCGATACGTCCATTCATTAATAAATTCATCATGTTAATTATACATATAATATGGTGCCTACATGAATATATTGGCACGCTCGCTATAGTAATTTAACTCGGGCATCACCATTTTATTTAAGTAAAGGCCGTTATCAAAGCAAGGAATCATACGCCATTAAAAATATCATATTTATATATAACTATCGTTCTATGTATAAATAAATACTATGATATTTATTCAACACCTTGCTATACTACAAGATGTTACTTCTTTCATACTGGGTTCATTGATGCAGCTTTACGAGGCACTGAACCTAAAATACGGTGGAAATAAAATGAATGTCTCCATCACACTACCACGAGTTGTAAACCGACTCTCGGTTTTGCACGCATAACCGTACTTTACGATCTTACAGGTACCCACGAATTGAAGCATTTATAAGGCGTAGGGTACATGTTCAAACACTCAAAGATTCTTGAAATTTTAAACGTTTTTCTATATAGCCTCCTATATTTCTTGTTGAACGCAAGGCGCCAGCTCTTTATTACCGACAGGCTCATGCTGGCATGGTTTCAAATGTCCGTTGCAGATGTCATGCGCTTTAAGACTCGTTAAAATATTATCTTCGAATGTCGTAGCACAAAGCTAATTTAATAGAACGAGAAAATTAGATATGACTACGTACAAACGGATTACAAGCTTAAATCTAAACTCTTTTTAATGCTAGTGTTTTTAATATGTATAAGTAAAATTGAAATAGTTCCAACAATAATGAGTTCAGAAAAAAAAAACACTTATTGTTTTGGCTCTTATATGCAGACATGTAAAATGTATTTTATATCTAATTCACGACTATTTCCAAAATCTCAAACGTTATTGCAAGCAATAAAAAAACACACTTACTAACCTTGTTAGCATAATGAATTATCAGTAAATTATAATAATAATAATTTAATAATGTCTTTCAATACAATAATCATATTTTGTAACAGTGCAATGTCTAGTTATTGTATTTTGAATCAGTAAAATCAATACTAAACATTATTACATCTTCCTTTATTATTAAATTACAAAATGAAATAATTCGCTACGATAATTAAAGAAGAGCACTTCGAACATATATTTCTGTTGTCAACAAAATAGCTCAACTCTTGGCAACGTGCCAATATTGTACACGTACTCCACACATCGTCTATATCACTGCTGTTTCCCATATACCAACGCAGGGGTAGCAACAACAGATAGTAGTAACAAGCATCTACGATCTTGTACCTATTTCAGCCAACATGTTATTGTGCGTGATATTATCCTATATCAATATTTGACCTACATAACGTCATTAAAAAACTATGAGTCAACTCAACCACACCAAAAGCTACATATCTTATGCAAACAATATTATCAACCTAGTAGAAAATACATCTTAATCTAATCTGTGGTGTTTTGCGTTTCAGACACTCGGTGGACTCGGTCGCGTCGTATTCTAGCCAGAATCACGTTGACCGTATAAGGGCACAGAATTTCTCAGCGGCTTCTTGTCAAGACGAAGGCGACTTCGGTTCGATTAAGACAAGCCTCTTCAGACGGTCATCGTCTAACTTGGAATATCCTAACAAACGACCGGAGAGCGTCACGTCAAACACCAGCTCAACAAGAAGCCGCCTTCGAGAACTTGTCGAAAGGAAATCGAGTCAGGACGACCACAAGTCCGCGGCAGACACCGTCGGTGATATACAGTATTTTGAAAATCCTGCAGAAACATTAGAGTTTGATAAACCGCGAAATTCACTAGAGTCCAAAAAGAGTCAAGAAGAACGTCCCAAAAAAAGAAAATTATCTAAGGGTAAAGACAAAGACAAAGATAGGGATTTCTGTGAAAATAAGAATAAAAAACACGAGAAGTACCAGAGTAAGTTAGCCGAATACTACAAATTACCTGTACAACTGCCTCAAGACGAGTTTTATCAACATTTGACAAGGTCTAAAGCTGCGGAGGAACTCATACAAAAACGGTTCTCAAACTCAGATACTGAATTCAGTGGTAGCTACGGAAGATTGTGCAAACATAAAGAACCTGAAGGCGCTAATTTACGACGCAGTCGAAGCTTGGCAGTAATAAGAGAGGAAACATTCACCGATCTTCAGATACAAAACCACGCTAAGAGCAAGCGATCCCAGCTGATACCCCGCGCCCGGTTATTTGACAAGCCTTGCTTCAAAGACAGGTAATACTAAAACTTTATTTTATTTTGGAAGAAGCAAACATTTATTTTGGTTCGTCGATTTAAATAAAACACAATAGTACTAGATGATACTACGCCGTTTAACCACGACAATATTGTCGTTTTTTCTTGAGTTAAAATTAAAAATTGCAATTAAAAATTACACCTGTTGAGAACATACATTTGTGTACCAATGTAACATGGTTATGTATCTCATTCCAGGTTGCCAGGACGAGCAAAATATCAAACAAAAGAAGAAGTTCTAGAAAGCATATACATAGATAGCACTGCTTCGTGCTTTGGAGATATAAACGCGCAGAAGGAAAACGAAAAACCGGATAATCCTGAAAATAGGGCAGAGAAAGAGGACGCCGTTTCACATAACGAAAGCCAGCATTCAAGGTCTGTATGTGGAAGTTGGCCGAATTTGAATGAAGAAATAAAACAAACCAACTTGTCCGAAGATAGTATCGGTCACTCTCGTAATCCAAGTGAAATTGATAGTTTAGACTCTAACTACGTAAGAAAACATTACAATTTCGAAGCTCATAGAAAAAATTACAAGGAAAGCTCACCAGAATCAGATCGATCGATAACTTCACCTATTCCCAGCAAAGAACTTTATGTTACAACTGACGAACACGCAACTGATAACGAAGACAAAGAGAGATCAAAAAATACTACACCAAAATCATTCACAAACGATAGCCTTACGCGGAGTGAAAAAGATAAGCCTGATGATCCTGAACCAATAAGCTACACAGAAACCTATGACAAACTTTCTGTTAAAAGTGTAAAAAGTAAAAATAGTGAAAGACAAACAAGTTTGGAACCAGCCGAAGTCACCAAAATAGATGAATCGAAAAACGATAATGATGTGCAATCTTTAGCCTCTGAAAACGACGAAATTGTGTCTAGCCCCCCTGATAGTATAACTTCCTACATATCAATATCAATTGCTTCATCCGATAAGTCCCATAAATTAGAATATTTAGCCAATTCCCTTGCAGAAAAAATTGATGAATATTGCGACTCACAATTTAAAGAGAACACTTCAATTGCTTCGAACACTTTAAATTCTGAACACAATAATCAAGAATCAGATCCTATATACACTCAAGTTAACAAAAAAAAGACATTTGCAGACATTCGAAGGGACTCATTTTTAAAGAAGAACGGTAATATTTTCAACGAAATATTGAAAAAACAAAACAACGAAGTCTATGTCAGTAACACATACATTGAAAGTGATACATATTCTACTAAGAGTCACTGTACTTCTAAGAACATAACAACAGAGCCTTTTGTTACCACACTTATCGAAAATCAGTACTATTCTTTACCTGATATAAATATCAGCAAGTGCTTACGAAAGTCTGAACGCATTGACGCCCAACTAAGAGAAGAAGATCCGGAAGATATACCCTGTGAAAATACGTATGAAATAGCTCAAACTCATTTCAGAGAGATATTGTCTTCAAAGGGTACTGAAAATTACGGACAACTTAATAAAACCTATACAAAACCTACACATAACATAAAAATTCAAACAAACAACTGCATTTACTTACCGGAGTATTCTGAACCACAGTTAATACAAAGCTTTAACAAACTTGACGACGACTTAAAATCAATTATAACTATCGAGAGTTCTAACACTGACGAAAAAGAAACAAACTACTTTCGTTCAGATAATCATCAAAACGAAAGAGAAATCAATGAAATAGAAGGAACAATTCGAAACAATAAAATCATAACAAAGTCTGAAAGCTTAAAAATATCAAATTATCGACCAGAAATTAATATAATAAAATCTTTATCAAATGATAACATAAATAAATCAGTGATTGAGAAAAAACCACGACTTGGAATAATTAAAAAACATTATTCTCTTCGCCAACGTGATCCAACAGAGGAAGACGAAATTATACGTATTCCTAGCCCGGAGACAGTGGAAAAAAGTATTAATAAAACGAATTCTGACACTACAGCTCAGAAACCACCTACTACTGAAGAGACAAAAACACATTCACTCTTATCTAGGGTTCAATCTTTCAAGACATCAGCAGAATCCAATATTGCAATAGTCCCATTAAGTGGCCATCAAACTATTGTTATTGATCCACCATTATCCCAAAAATCTAACGAAAATAGCCGAATAGAATCAAACACACAGCGAGAAGTAGAAACAAAACCGCCGCCACCACCAACAGAAGTAAAACCTGTGATAGAGATACAGCCGAAGTTTGATCAAGTACCATTCACAGAGCTTAATAAAGAAACTAAACCAATCAACCAAGAAGTCAAAAAAGTCACAGTAGATACTTGTATTGATACTTCCAGCTACTACACACCTAAAGATCCTTTCATAACTATAAAATTAAACAAGGTAGTTAAAACTACAATACCGAAACTAAAAAAAGAAACAAGCGATAATATTTCATTTGTCCAGCATAAATTTGAGAAACCACCTCCTAAGTTAATAATAAAAGACAACAAAAATTGTCCGGAGCAGTCTTTGTACACATTCAGGAAAATTAATACAACAATGACTCGACCGCAAGTATTACAAGTTATTGATTCCAAAAACAAAAAACAAAATATTGTAACAAAAATGGAAAATAACTGTGAAACAAATTCACCAGTAAACAAGAAACTAGATAATCCTATTGAATCTAAAGAAGATGCCAAAGACTTGAAAGGAGACAATAATGTAAAAGAAAAGTTAAATAATGCAATAAAAACGGATATCGAATATCAAGAGAAATTAAATTCAGTAAAAAACTATTGGTCGAAACTTATAGATAAGAACCCAGATTTCAATGAAAATATTAATAAACCAGAAATAAAAATCAATCACGAAGATTTTAACAACAATAAAGATGGTGACCTAAGTGATAACAAAATAGAAAAGGATCAACAGAAGACCGAAGATAGTAAGTTATTGTCAGAAATATCTGTAGGAAACATAATCAAGACTTTAGAGAGCGTTAAAATTGTAGACAGCATACGGAAAATAAGTCAAACGAAATTACAATTATGGAAAGACGAAACGGAAAAGGTTAAAAGTGATTCAGAAATAGAAGAATCGACGTTAGATAAAATTGTAAAGGATTGTGACACCAACTTTTATGATAAGAGTGATCTAGCAAAATCTGAAATAGATTTATGCAGAGATACTCCTGAAATAGAAATCGTTGAGTTGAGCAGTGATGATAACCAAAATCAAAAAACTCAGGCAACTTTAATAAAGGCCAAAGGGTACGAAAAAGGATGTGATGATTTCGATCATGTGAGATACAAGGTCATGAAATCGGAACTCTTCAAAAACAGTATGATTGCTAATTATCGTAAAGAAGCACAATTCGACGGACTGCTTCAGTATCTACAAGATTATAGCTTTCAAGAATTATTGGTCAATAACAACATCGTAATTATTGAACCAGTCCGCACGAAAATTGAACCTTCACCCCGAAAAAATACAGACACGTGCAAAATTCCACCCACCTTGCTGAAGAAAAACGATAGCAACGCTAACCTATCTGATAAGCCAAAAAATGCAGTAAGACGACATTTCTTTTATCATCCCATAAGAGTTAATAAAGAAATAATAGAAGAAGAACTCCCTAACCCTGATACAGTTAAAAAGGTAAGAAACTTATTCGAAGACACCTTGAAAATGAAAAGTCCGATGACGCATGATCCGCCTTTGGTTAATGAAAATCTAGGTTTAACAAGAAGAGCTACATCCTACAGAAGCCTAAATGAAGAATCAAAAGGAACCAAAAACGGTGGTCGTAAGAAAATTATACGACAGCTGACTATAGATACCAACTTCGGCAATAAGAAATGGGATAATGCTAGTCTGTCAAGTGGTGTATCGAGCGGAGATCTAAGCTCAAACAACGAATATGAAACAGACGGATTAAGTCCATACTCACAGAAAAATCTAAAAGATAATGCCTACAGTTCAAGTGAAGAATATCTTTGCGATTCAATGAATCAAGATTTTTGCTGTGAAAGTCAATATGTAAGCCCTGATATTTTAAAGAAAATAAGAGAATGCGGTACTTCCATAACATACTACGGAGGTAAAGTACTTACTTCAAAAACCGGCTCCACAGTAAGTCCTATGACAAAAGCTATAATGGAAGAAATAAAAAGTCTACAAAAAAATTGTAGCAGGGATTGCTACTCTTGTCAAACCAAATGTCGAGGTGATAAGTGTTCATGTCTCGTCGCAGATAAACACAAGCAAATGCTTTCTGAAAAACAAAATTCTAACACAAGTCTAAATGTAGTAAACCAAAATCAAGACAAAAGAACAGAAAGCTTTCCAGGATTTAAATTTAAATTGGTAAAATCCAACAGTTGTAGCAGCCGTTTAGAACTCACGGGTACAGATGATAGCAAAAATCCTCGAAATAAATTCAAAAAACAATTATCAAGAGAAGACCCTCCACTGGTGCACGATGATGAAAATTCCGTTAAGAATAAAATCTGTCGTCTAGAAAGCTACAGCAAAGGTATCGTAAAGACTCCATTTGACAATAAAGACAGTGGAATTAAAAAGGATTTAGTTAAATCCAAAATTGAAGCAATAAAACAAAATGACGCAGCTGTTAAAAAGAAGGAGGCTCCTGTTCAGCATATAGCACCTGTAGTCGAAAGTAAGAAAGAAACAACAATCACAGAACAACAAGAAGGATGTTCAGAGGATGCTAAGGCCAACAATGCACAAGGAGACAAACAAGCGTCTAATGCTCAGACCTTTGAGAAGAAATTTTATTACGTAAACGATAACTTAGACCAAAGTAAAGTTACAACAGGAAAATTCGGTGAAATGGTGTTCGAAGAGTTTGAAGTCTTAGAGTCGTGTTACGATAGTTTGAATAGCAATAAGTCATTAAAATGATATGTCTACATTATCCATATAAGCTTTTGCTTACATAAAATGTGATCTGTATTCAAATAACACTATTAAATTATTGCTAGTAAATAGTATGTACCTAATAATATAAATATTTAGCTTAAAATCATGTATCTAATTTAGTTTTAGGTATATTCTTTTAACATAGATAGTTGTTAGTTCGCGATCAAAGTGTACCGTATTATTTGGTGATGGTCTCTTTCTCTGTAATAAATGTATTTTATGAATACTATGGGGTTTTAGTTTCCTAAATCCTTACCCTCAGATTTTTCATGCTCGACTTTTGTTGGTGTTTTAGATCCATGTGTACATACACTTGTGAAGAATGTACGGCGCGCGGGCCGCCAGCGACGACACCATGACTCCTGAAAACAATAATTATTCAAAGTTAGATAAACAAAGAAACCTAGTTGTAACAGGAAAAATATGTTTGCTCTACAATTCTTTAAAAAGTTATTTTAACTCTCAAAATTCAGGTACAGTCAAGATCCATATGAAATATTTTTGGGTTTATCTCGATTTTTGACAGAAACTCCATCAGTAATGTCAAAAACTAGATCTTAATCTAAAGATATGTTTACCGTAAATATTTTTTACCAAAAATGTCTTTTATCACCTCTTAAAACGTACAATCAGAATCAACGATTAAAAAACCAATTTCGCAAACCAATAACATGTAATTACTCATCGATCTACAAATGTATTTAAAACAGTAATAAGTGAAAACAGTACAAAATTACTGTCACACATTTATCAACTAAAAATTGCAGTAGACAGATAAATGGAGTTGGGTACATTGCCTCCATTAGTAGATTACTATTTGGTAGCATTTTACTAATTAGTCTGATGTTAATGAACGAGGTAGTTCGTATCTGTACAGTATGAAAGTAGAATATTCATTGTATGGTCTGCGCATACAGTACCTGGCGATAAATATTGCACGTCGATTTTTGGAAAGAGACAATCGGCCAAGTCGGCCCGTTTACTGTTCCTTATAATGAACTGCTAATACCTACTAGTCGAAAGATTTCCCCAAACTATGAAAAGATTAAAAAAAAACAAATGAAAAACTGTAGTGTCACACAAACTTTTACTCTTTCCAAAAATGACGTGCAGTTGTTATTGCCGTATAATACACATCACCAGCTTTATATTGCGTATAATATACAGCTAGTATTAAACTACTGTACTTACTAATAAATTTCAAAAATGACAGCGAAGATAGACAAGAGGCGAAACAGACACTAATGTGCTGTTTGTTACTCATAGTCTATGAATCTATTAGATATCTTTATTTGCCTCTAAGTGTTAGCAATTAATCACTAACGAACAACTATCTGAACACTAGACGTTTAAGATGATCTATGTGTGTTTTCTTTGATTCTTGCCTTACAAATCGTACGGCTTGCAGTTATTAGATAGGTATATTAGAAGACAGTCAGTTTATCTGCTCATGATAATCTCGAAAACTACTAGATGGTATTTGCGCTATTTTTTTTTTACAAGTACAAACTGATGATAAAGAGAGGTTTGAGTGATATAAATGGTGAAGATTTGTCGCTCGTGTCATTTCTATTATTATCATCTCAGTAAGAAATGTATGAATGCTTAAGTGTCCGCATCACACTACTGACAAATATTTATTTTGGCCTTTTCCTCCACAGTTTAGTATCAACATGGAGTATTAGTCGGCTTTTACACAAGTGGATCGATCGTCAACTTCCTTCCCATCAAAATAAAGACAATTAGTGAATAATAACTATTTACCTATAACAAATTAATCTCACTGGAAACTTAAGTACCAGGCCAAGCTTAATGATTTAATATTTTTATGTAACATTAACGAAACGTTGAATGCAAAAACCCACCAATAAAATAATGGTAAATAAATCAATCCTGAACCGAAATAGTTAATCGCCTGTAGGTTTTCAGTAAGCAACAAAACAAAGTCATATGATTTGTGAATGTTTGCACTGGTCAACGATAAAGAAAATTTTACGCTGTTGAATCACTAAACTAACTTTAGGAAACGTAAGTTATATAAACAGTGTGTTATGTATGTTCACATTATTCACTGGGTAGTATGTTTATGAACTAAACCGATTGTTACATTTCACTATGAAAAGTTCATCGACCACTGATATCATATTTTTTTATACCAACACGTAGAAAGATCTTGCTATCGTCATATAGTTTCTTACTCGCAATCCGCCTCCTGTCTGCCTTCCTTTATTTTATCGGGCAAAGTTCCAAGAATTTTGTGACAAAAATACTAATACATTTCTGACCCGTACCGAAGTCTTCAATATTACGCTACGATCTGAAGTACAGTTAAAGATTATACAACAAGATTATTCAGAAAGGGCAAGGAACTGTTCGCAGTTAACTGCAAGGTCGAAAGTAGTAGGCATGGCTATTTAGGCATGCCTCAATTCATAATGAAAACATAAATAAGTGTGGAATTAAAATAATTTAGTACAAATTCGCCTTTAATAATTCCTGTCAGGCATACTTTGAAGAGAAAATAAACTTTTCGTAGGAACATAAAATTTGCTAAATAGCCGCCATCTAACCAGACCTACGTAACGACGATGCAAATACTTTATTTTGGCACATTTCTAGTTTGTGTTTACATTAGGCTGTCTTAATCACGTTCGCATGCAGTAAAGACAGCTATAATTAAATGAATACGAGTAGTACTTAGTTGGTTCGAAATTCAGGAAAAAACTTCAAAATATCTAAATCGCATGAATCAGCATTGTAGTTAGTTTTTGTGATTAACCTGATTTATTTTTGGACAAATACTGCGGATAAATTCGTTACAAATGTGTGGAGCACCTACAATGCAGACAAGTGCAGTGACTGTGTGCATATTATTATGCTAATAATTTTTAACTTGCATACCAAATACTAAACTAAACGCTATTTGCACGGTTGAGATGATATGGTGTTGTTTATGGCAAGTACTTGACTCTAATGACCATTCGTTTTAATCAAAGTGAGACGCCAAAATAATGCAAGTTCCACCTTATGTTTATACCAGGTGACTCAGATAAAATTGGGTAGTTTCCTAGGTCAAAAATAAATTAATTCGACGTTTCAATACAATAAAATATTCAAAAATAACTATACTTTGATTCATCGATCGATGGATACGCTAAATTTTAGATATTTTTTAGCTAATTTTTAAGAAATAAGTAAGCTATTTGACGTAAAAATACTATGTCGTCATAACTCAGTATTTCACACAAATTTCATAGAAAAGTGTAGTCTTTGACATTTGGATAAACGTATTATTGAATTTAACTAGGTAGTTAGAAACTACCGTATTATCGTCTTGTAATAGTGAATATAACTATAAGAGTTACATAACTGACAAAGATAAGTCTAAATCTTATAGCAACAATCAAACAACAATTAATAAGTGTTTTACAAGGTGGATCTAGATTGAAGGTCACTTAAAATCGAAACTACATTGTCCAACTCCTGTTCGTAGAGAAATGTAGGTCCGTAGATAAGATTGAGTGATGCGTTGGCCTTTTTATCGAATGAACCAGTACACAACCGGCAGGTTTCAGGTCAACGACCCGTGAATTGATTGTGACTACAACATAACCTTGATGACATGCACTTGTTTGTATGAATCATGATTTTAAATAATTCTTAGAAGAATTATCTCTCATTATTCTTCAATAAAGATGCTTTAAATTCACACCTTGTTAAGTTTTTCACAGAATCAATTACGATTTGAACAATTTCAGATTAATGGATTTTAAATCTTTTTCTTCAACATTATTATAATGCCGCCATTATGTAACACACAAGTTTACAGGCTAATGATGTGAACTTTAATGCTATGTTTTGTAAAAACAGAAGCCATTATAAGTTGAGGCGTCTTTTTTTAATTCTTATCAAGCTAATAATACAGAATACAGGACAAAGAGAATGCATTGATATGCATGCAGTATGCACGCATCACATTTGGCAACAAGCCGATGACATGAATAAAATTATAATCAAATATTAAAGAACAAACGCCAAATCAACCTTATCGGATCTAATAATTTAACTGCGCCATTAATAATGCATTTAATTAAAGTCGGTTGCAATAATTTTCCAAGTACAATCATTGTTTCAGCTTTAAAATAACTCTACGTTATTGCGTCTACTTAAAACTTTATCGTTTTTAACATAGTCAATTACCTAAAAATTATTCTCTTCAAAATTCGATGATTCAATTTCAAATGTATCAACATGATGGAAGGAAAATGGATATCTAAAAATGTGGCAATATATACTACTTATATGCTTGTATTTTGCCAACAGGTTTATTTAAGCATTTGCTCGCCACAATTTAGTCTGCGATTGTGACGTTTTAAATACGGATTATAGGTATATTGACACAGGTCTTGTTTTATTGAAAATTATCCAAAAACAAATAAACTTACAGATTACATAATATTTTATCCATCCGTACATACCAGTTACTTGGTCAATGCCACCATAAAGTGTACCTAACTCGCATTTTTTTTCCAGTGAGACGGAACTAAATATTTTTCTCTGGCACTTCATACATTTTAAAAGGTCTTTTGTAGGTGATCAAACCAGTATAGCAATGTATTGAATCCGGGTATGTTGATGCATTCATTTAGCAGTTCGAACTAAATAATGTGTCATCACATCATCATCAGTAAATAAATTATCCTCAACAGAAATTGTACACGGAAAATGGTTCAGTTAATGATATGATAAACATCCAATAATTGTAGACCTAAGTTCTCCGACATTAAGTTTACAAAATAGACGTAGATTAGATATCTATTATTAGGTTGTAATGAATAAACACTTCATTGTCTTTCATTGGTTATACAGCTGTTCGAACCATGTACGTAGCTATCAGATTCGTATCGTATCGCTCAAGCAGGCAGTGATTCAATTAGAAAAATACCGAGTAACTAAGAAATTCGTCATCTCACGGTCTGATCATGACGAATAGACGTCATATCCGTGATGCTTTTAAAATAGTTACCCACGTAGATATTGATCATCTTCACAAATACCTAACTATTGTACATAAATACAAAAAATATAACTGCCGCTTACCGCCAGAAGGAAAAGAAGACATTTTTTATGATTTTACGTATAAATTGTCGTTCCTGTTAAGAAACTAGTGCTCAACACTTTAATTCAATACTTATTTTAACAGAAGTCTCAAGTAAAAGACTTCAGAATAAGTTATAAATTATTTACCAACGTGAACAACAAATTTGCAAGATTTGTGATACTAATTTGTGAAAACCGGAACATTTTAAACAGAGTGGTGATCACAACTTGTAATGTAAGCAAAACTTAAACTGAACGTGACATATTATGGTTTGCTTGAGTTTTAAGTAAACAGTTACACATTTAAACCTTTGTACACGAGTACTATTGTATACTGGTCTTCGTTACCGGATAGGAGTTATTATTACCTGGGGACCGTCACCAATCCAACGCTCACCCTTCAATGACCGTGAAATGTCGTAACAATCTATACGCTAAAACAATTTTTGAAATGGTCTTAAAAAATTGCAGGAGGGGTCACAATAAGATCAGATATTGTGCAATTATGCATACATACATATATTTAGGTATGTGTTTATACAAAACCATGATGTCAATGATTTATATTGAATTCCATATTTCGTCCACATATGTTCATCGATTCTGCCAAAAGTAACACCGATTTTAAAAACCACTCATACGTACTTTGAGTATGGTGTATCTACGCATATTTTGTCAGTTTATCTACCATGGAGCTATTGTTGGATTAAAATAACTGTTTTATCACAGGAACTTAAATCGAAATCTATCAACGATAAGGTCGAGTATCGATCATAAAGTTGTCGAGTTAGTATTTTTTATTGATTAGGCTTACTTATTTTATTAAGGTTGTTAATCTAATACCTAATCTACGATAAAGTAGTATCGTACTTGACCGTGACCTTGTAAATGAGGTAAATAAGAGTAGGTACGAACTAAATTCGGTAGTGACAGTTTCTTGACAATGTGGCCATTTTACGATGCATGATTCTGTCGAATTTACTGGACATAACGGAACTCGTACATGACTGAGTAGAGTTCAAGGGCCCCAATTGAGATGAAGATCACAACAAATAGGCTAACGTTATCCACGCACTAGCTTTATGAATAAGTAAATCTCCGTGCCCCGCACGATTGGACTAAAAATGAAACAATTCTTTGAGATAATCGATCCCCTCTATTAATTTTTAGGACCAATCGCTAGCTCAGGAAACAACGGAGGTAATTTCTAACAAGACGAAAATAAGGCTCTCGTTAAGTATAAGAAATGTAGATAATGTTAATCCTTATCATCAACCTTTATTCTGCATCTTTATGGCTACAACCAATAAAGTGAAATGTTTTGTTGTCTTATCTGTGGTTCGAGTATACAAACAAAACAATATCATAATCGTAACTAATTAACACAGATGAGACTGCACTGTCACAGTCACATTGGAATCTTGTTGGAACATTTAAATACGAAAGGTTTTTTTTTTTAATTGCAAAGAGACATTCGTGATGTCATGACCGTTGGATACAAAAATCAAAACCTCAATTCTAAAGCCTATTTGGAACGCTATTTGGTTCTTAGTTTTTTCTACTTAAATAAATTACATGACACCTTCAAAAATATGGTGTTTAGTAAAAAATGTTTAGTGGTTAAAAAGAACACTTTGCCGCAACGAAATAAGTGTGCCTACTTGATTCTAAAATTAATTTCAACCTAGTTTACGGACGGTTTTATTTAACGATTTTTCGTTATTTACTGGCTTGCATAACAGCTATTTTGTATTTATTACATGTTCCAATTGTTTATAATGTCATTGATATCAAACAAATAATATACTTTCACGGTTATCAATAAAAATATGATAACCATAAATTAAAATAAACACAAAAATTTTGACGTTTGACAGCTGCTATCTACTTAACTATAGAATAGATATGCACGTGCATACGAAAATCGGTCTCTGAATCGTCAATTTTAAATGAAACACTAACAATGTTCGTCTTTAAATAAAAGAAAAACATTAACCACTTACCCTGTTATTTGACAAATCCCTAAATATCGGTGATAAACACAAACCACGATTTATTTCTAATTTAGCTAACAGTCGGCATCTAGAAACACACACCGTCGACGCCATCTTTACACTACGTATGTACAATACACTGTAGGTAGGTATGTATAGCTATAGTAACACCGACACCGCACCGGTCCGATCACACTGGCGCCGCCGCTGCCGAGAAAGTAATGATGATACAAACTGAGCCACTATTTTGTCAAGCGCAAATCTAATATTTTTAGTAATACATAAATACTAATACTATTTACACAGACTATCCTACACTACTTATTAAAAGAATATACTTAGTGGACACTTCACTTTGTCTTGATTTTTTATTATTTACAAGAAATATATACCTCACTTGAGATTCTGATTAATACCTAAAATATGCTGGTCTTAAGACATTTTAGATATTTTCATTATATCCCTGAAATCTTATCACTATTAACATTTATTACATTTTTTGGAATGTAGATAACGCTTACAATCAAAACACCCGCGTTAAGTGGTGTGTTGTTTATGTCTATCAGGTTGGCAAACATGTTCATAACTGTTTCGTTCAGAAATACTCATTAAAACGACATATTACGTTGATGAAATAAATGTTAAATACTTCAATATTATATATAACTGTTTGGGAGTAATATTCATTCTAACTTTTCAGTACAATTTCCAATTTGATTAAGGTAACTCAAATACATGTACTGCTAATCAATAAAAAAGTCAATTTCAGATCATACGGTTGTTGACAGCAACGTCAACATGACATGACAACTTTTGTTCGCCGCGATTGTTTCTGATTTTTTCTCAGCATTTTGAAAATAAATACGCTTTCCAATGGCTGTTCCTGATTACAAATTAAGTGCTGTTTTATACGGCCACTCGCTGGACGTGCGATGTGTGGCTACGACAAAAGAATTTTGTATATTATCTGCTTCACGCGACAGGACCGCAAAGCTTTGGCATCCGGAGGGGTATGTATGTATTTCAGTGCCGTTACTTTGTTAGAAAATTGTTTAAACTTGACAAAAGGCTTCTTTTTCAGAGTTAAGGATTTTGTGAACGTGGTAACGTATAAAGGGCACAGGAATTTTGTGTCGTGTGTGTGCTGGTTGCCTCCTTGCGAAGCGTATCCTGACGGGTTAGTTGTAACGGGCAGCAATGACAACACAATACTGGGATATAACCTTCAGGATGGCGTGATCCAGGTAACGCTTGAAGGTCACGAGAACGCCGTGTGTAGTGTTAAACCTGGAAGAGATTCTGGAATTTTATTGAGGTTAGTTTTCTTTGTTTTCACAGGCAAGTGAATATTTTTTGTGGTGCATGCTTTGTAACATTTTCACTACATAGATTTATGTTGATAATACAACATTAACAATTGTTTTCTGATGAAATATCCTAAACATTCTTTGAAATTTAAGTGAAATCTGGGTTAACAAAGAAACCCTTCTTTGCTTTCAAGATTTATTTTTAAATAGATAGTGGTATTATATGCACACTTATAACTTAAAAGCCATTAGATTTGTACTAGAGTATTATAAAATAATCATATCCATTCTTATAAGAATTTATCAAAATACTTGTTATAGGTAACCAGGAAAATAATTATTGCAATTACTACTATAAGATAAAAGTTTTCAAATCTTTTTTTCTAATAAAAGTTTTCTAATCGATTTGAATTACAAAAGTTTTTCTAAATCTTACAGCTTTATATTTAAAAAGATATAGATCAAAAACTTTTTACAAATATACCAAATTCAAGTATTCTAATAACATTCTAATAGGATCATAATAATAACAATGCTCTCATCAAATGAAGATCAATAATTAAATAAAACTTCATTTCTACACAGTTCAAGTTGGGACAGTACAGCAAAAGTATGGAACATAAATGCAAGTCGCACATCTCCACTCTCACTCAAAGGTCACCAGGCTGCTGTATGGGCGGCTGTGGAACTGTTCAATGATACATATGCTACAGCATCAGCTGATAAGACCATCAAGTTGTGGAAGAAAGATGGATCTATCATTAGCACTTTAACAGGTAAGTAGAAAAATAATAATTTGAGTATTATTCATGATAGTATAGTGCATTCAATATTTTTATTGCCTTTCTAACAGTCTAGGGATAAATGAGTATTAGAATCATTTGATGGTAAGCAATTGGTGCCTACCGTGGATTACACAACATTGTGAAGCTACAAGTGTATAATCCACCTTTTGGTGGTTAGGGATTTGATGGTATGTGACAGGTGACAGGAAGAATTAGGCATCTGGTAACCACACTCACACATTGGTACAGAAGCTATGGTAGCTTTGTTTAACGCCAATTTTCTATCAGTCAAAAACAAAAACAAAAAGTATTTATTCGCGTCTGGGACGCATAAAAGACACAAAACGAACAATAATAAAAAAAGGTAAAAATAAAAATACATTAAGAATTATACTACAAAAATAACAAAAGTAGAGGGTAGGAGAAAAATATGCGTCCAAGCTCGCGAAATGGCCCTCGCTCAGCATTATGCAGCGACCCCATACGAGACAGTGTCGCGGCGCTGATTTTCAGCGATGGCCGACACCAACGCATGACGCCAATCAGTGCAGAAACATAAGCTAAGTTAAATACAAAAATGTGTTTCATATAATATAATTGTTGGATTAGTACTATAAAACAAAAAACAAACTACCTATGATTAAAATAAAAGGGAAAAAGTAAAATAAAAATACTAAATATTAGAATTATTACCATGAAACACTTGTCAGTGGCAACACTGAACGAATGAAAGCGACGCTCGCGCTTCCATTCCATTCGATCAAAAAGTCTATTCTTTCAGTCCATATTATAACTCCAGACAGTAATATGTGCCGAAACATAGCCAGGCTCCAACATTTATTTACTTTCCAAAAAAAAAATTGTATCATTTAGTCTATCCTGTGTTTGTGTAGAGGAGCAGGATATCTTACTAATTATTTTCACATTAATTACTGATTTGTTATACTTTCAGGCCACACAGATTGTGTCAGAGATCTGGCTGTAGCCAATCCTGAGACATTCCTCAGCTGTTCAAATGATGCCTCCATTAAACACTGGACTAATAAAGGGCAGTGCCTTAACACATACTATGGACATTCTAACTATATCTACAGGTAAATGATAACATCATTTACATACCATTGATACTCCAAATATGACTGAAGAACTGATTAATGCTTAATCTGACCTGAGCTATCCAAATCTTGGGTCAGTAGCCAATTGGGCTTGTAGCCAATACCAAAATCCTGATAGTATGGTACTATTCAACAATGCATTAGTGGTTTTATGGTATTGTTTTTGGAACAAGGATTCCTTATTTCAATAAAGCTTCTTGCAAAATCTCTATAAAATGTTGTCTATCATCATAAAACTGTGACTACCAAGAGAAATGTCTGCATTTTCTTTAATTGAAACTAATGATTATGCTCTTTTGAGCCATACCATATCTACTGCTATGCAAAGACCTAATTCCTGAAAGCATCTATTAAAGTGACCGATTACCGCACGGATGGTGCGGTGGCTGGGCAACCGGCTGCCGTGGAACGTGTCGCGGGTTCGATTCCCGCATGAAACAACTCTTTGTGTGATCCACAAAATTGTTGTTCCGGGTCTGGGTGTCATGTGTGTGTGAAATTGTATGTTTGTAACCGATCCCACGGCACAGTTGTGGGGTGGGGCAATGTTTAAAACAAAAAAATAGGATTATTTTACAAATTTATAATGGATGTTTCAACTATAAATTTTATGGTTTGTAGCTGATTATTGATTATTTTCTTCCAGTATCAGCATGAACCCAGTAGTGCCGCAAGGTTTCGCGACGTGTGGCGAGGACGGCGCCGTGCGGCTGTGGGCCGGCGGAGACTGCGTGCGCGATATAAGGCTGCCCGTACAATCCGTCTGGAGTATCACCTGTCTTGATAATGGAGATATCGTCACTGGTATATAAACCTAAATCTCTTTTTATGAGATAGGATGGCAAGCTAATAGTTGGACCTCTTGATCGAAGGACTATCGGCGGTATTTTGACACCTGTAAAGAGTTAAAAGTGCTATGCTGGCATTTTGTGGGTTAGGCATTTTAGGTTTGAGTTATTACAAGTAATTTGATTTGATGTAATGTCAGACATAATAGACAACTTGCGTTCTTGGATCTTACTCTAATAGCCAGAAGTATAATTTAGAAGCATTTGTTACAAACACGGTGTATTCGCTTCACTTGTCCACTTATTGTATAAGTGAAGCTGGTTTGTAAACTCCTCAAGCCGCAATCTACACTCGACAACAATTCTGAACAGCGATACAATGAAAACCGGTACGGCATCATGACAGAGACATGAACAACTGTCTTCAATCTAAAAACAAAATTAATCAGCCTTGAGGACCATTGTATGAATTTTTATTAAAATATTGCAGGCTCCAGTGATGGTATTGTAAGAGTATTTACGAAAGACCCAGCGAGGTACGCGGATGAAGCTGCACTGAAGCAGTTTGAGGAAGATGTTGTCAAGATGCAGGCAGCCACTCAACAGGAGATTGGTGGATTCAAATTATCTGAGTAAGTGGATTTCTTTTTATTGACTTTGGCCCTGTCTTGTATGAAACATCAGAGGAAAAGACAGAAATCTTTGTGTAGATAACAGATTTTGTAAACCGAACAATTGAAATATGCTATTGATTTTTTATGGGATAGGTTCTGGTAGGGCTCGATTGCCGCGCACGGATTACCTGATGGTAAGCAATCGGTGCCGCCTATCGATACCGCAACCAAAAGAGTTATGACTGCGTTTTTAGGCATAAGGTTTTCGTACATTTAAGGATTGGGAAGGGATGGAGAGAGAGAGAGGGGGGTTAGCCTTCAGTAACCCCACTCAAACGGTGAAATAACGCTGTGGTTGTTCCACGCTGGTTTTCTGTGAGGTCGTGGTATCACTCTGGATCAGATCAAATCAAATCGCTTATACAGAAACCTTTGACCGCGTGGTATGTTGATTAAAAATAGCCTATGTCCTATATTGGGGTGTATTCTATGCCTGCGCTAAATTTGATCCAACTTAGTCCAGTAGTTTTGGCATGATTGAGTAACAAACATCCAAACATCGTAACTTTTGCATTAATAATATTAGTAAGAAAAGATACGATTTACATTGTCTTCAAGAGTAATTGTACGAATGTACTTCATAATAAATAAATAATCTTTAATGTATACCAAACGAGTTTGTGACATGGGGTGTATATAATAATTCCCTATTCTGCCCTTTTACATTCCCAATTTACCTTACAGATTACCGGGTCCAGAAGTTCTCCTAGAGCCCGGCAAGGCAGACGGACAGACGAAACTAGTCCGGCGCGGTACCAACGTTAAGTGTTATTCTTGGAGCGCCGCGGAGAACACGTGGAACGAAATCGGTGACGTCATGGGGGCGCCCCCCTCCAGTGAGGGGAAGACCATGTACCAGGGAAAGGTAATACATATATACTTTTTTATTAGAAATCTATTGTTTATTATGTTGAACATTATTACACTCGTTTTAGAATGGATACCATACAATACCAGTGGCTTGTTGCCACCTCAATCCTCAAAAAATAATATGCTTTTTAGCTACCAGAAAGTTACAATATACTTTTTACTTTTTAATAGTTGCCTTATGTATTGAGTTCTATATAGAAGTATTTGATGAGGCGATAAGCACATTCACTTGATGTGGATATACTGTAGGAAAGATGATGTGCTTATGTAAAACTTGTCAGACACTTATATTTATGTTTTTTTGTTTGTTGATTGTTGAACTAATTCGCGTAGTGATTCAATACTATCTTTTAGATATAATAAATTAATTGTTATATTTATTTCTAGGAGTACGACTTTGTATTTAGCGTGGACATCAAGGATGGCGCTCCACCAATTAAACTTCCATTCAACAAGACTGAAGACCCTTGGGTTGCCGCTCAAGCTTTTATACACAAGTAATATTTTTTCTATACAATTTGTAATATTCTTTTATTGCTTTGCAATCCATTTCTTAAATAGTAAGTTTTTTTTAAATAGTAACATATTTTTATTGAAAATAACGATTGACGTGAATTTAAGTTTTTTTTTCTATAATTTAGAGACTTTCGCTCAGATGTAACTAACTTGTACGACTAAAGTACTAAATCAGCTATTGGTGTAAATGTAGATTCACCTTCTGGTAAGTGATCAGCGCCGCCAGTGAAAACCAGAAGTCATAAGTCAAGGTCCCGTAACGTCAATCAAAAGATTAATTATTTAATTTCAGAATTTTTACTGAAGTTTTGTACATTATGTCTAAAAGCTCATTTTATCTAATTCTCACATAAACACATTAAATAATTATTTCCAGAAACAATCTACCTCAAGTATATTTGGAGCAGGTCGCTAACTTCATTATCACCAATGCCAAACTGGATTCACAGCCTGTATCAAGCAACGGGTAAGTTATGAATGAAATCACTGAAAATTCAACTAAACTAAGAAATAAATAACACTCCTCACAGATATTCTAATTTTTGTTCAATTACATGCAAGCATAAAATTCTGCGAATTTTCAATATGAGTACTTGTTAAAATGGGTTCATATTTATAAAACTATATAATTTCTGATCAATTACGTTGTTCTTAAATCTTATTGAAATCATTGACCTTCATGTTGCATCTAATTGCACGGTTGACGCGGTTACTGGGCAACCGGCTACTACCAACTTGTCCCAGGTTCGATTCCCGCATGGAATACTCTGTGTGATCCAAAAATTGTTGTTCGGGATCTGTTTTATTAAGATCTAAGCACAATTATCCATACAAATGTTATTTATTACATTTGTACTTAATTTTTTGACAAATAAACGTATTTTCCCAGTTTCGCGGACCCGTTCACAGGCGAGTCTCGCTACGTGCCGGGGTCGGGTTCAGTCCCCGGCCTGCCGCCCCCCTCCCACGCCGACCCCTTCACCGGCTCCGGCGCCTACACTACTACCGGAACTACTACATCCCGAGAGAAAATGCTGATACCACACGATGCTTATATTAGGTAAGTTTTTTTATGTTCGGCAAACTAGCAGACCAATCATGTTACTAAGCAATCGCCGTCATCCATGGACACCCACAACATCAAAAGATTTAGTTACAAGTGCATTGCGAACCTTATGTAAGTAGGTAGGGATTTGAGGATGAAGGATGGCAGTAATAAAATATAATTGGATTGTATAGTTTTTTAATTTATTTATCTTACCGAAAGTTAGCAAGATCTAAAACTACCTATTTAGGCGACCTATAACCAGAATAATTCGTCACAATAATGTCGAGTCAAGTTTGAAAAAAAAGGCAACCTGCATACATTCAATAAAATGCAACATAAACTATATATAACAATGTTTATTTTTATTAAATTTCATAACTGTCAATTTATCATTTCTTTTTGTAAAAGTAACAACTTTAAAAGTGTAGGCATGACTTTCTTGGGATTTTTATGACTAATTTCTAAAACACCAGGAAAATTGTTGTTGAACCAGGTTGTTTGAACTTTTTTCTTTTGTGGTCTTGATTTGTGTCACATGATTAAATGCTGAACCTATCTGAGAATACAAAGCAAATAGATAATGTATTTTAATATTTTAACATTAGTAGATTTTAATGTTGTATACAATATTTCAGGTTCGATCAAGCCAACTTGAAAGCGATACATGACAAGCTGAAAGAGTTCAACAGCAAAGTAGGAGATGGACTGAGCGCACTTACCGATGATCAACTGGAATCTGTCGTCAAACTGTGTGAACCGGTGAGATTATAATATTATAGAATAGAACTTATTTATAAGAAGCATGGTACAGAAAGATTTTAGAGCTAAACAGTGAACTTCACACTTCGCCACATATAAATGGCATACAAAATTGAAATAGTTAAAGTCAAATAATTTATGACAAACTAGCTACTCTCGCGCGATTTTACCCGCTGCTCAGCTCCTTTTGATCGTAGCGTGATGTTTTCAGCACTCAGGAACATTGTAGCTACCTATCAGTGAAAGAATTTTGGCAATCCGACCAGCGGTTCCAAAGATTACCCCCTACATACAAACTTACAAATTTTACCTCTTTATAATGTTAGTATAGTTTGCTTATCAAACAAACAAAAAATAGGAAATATCAAAAAGGCAACTTTGTGAGTGTAAGTATGTCGGTCTGTACTCCAGTGAAGCGTGTTACGTGTTTCAAAGTGTATGGAGAAGAACTATCAATGTCATTCGACCAGAGACGATGGGCATGTGAATTAATAAAAATACATGCTTATGTATATTCAATACTGTTATTGTTACAGAATAATGTGTACAACAATGAAACCATAACGATACTGAAGAAGATGCTGGAATGGCCCAAAGGTACAGTCAGATAATCCTATTTTTTAATAAAATCTATAATTTATTTCTGCCTTATGGTAATCATAATATTTTATTTCCAGAAATACTATTCCCCGTATTGGACATCACTAGGTTAGCAGTAAGGAATAAAGAAATTAACGGCCAGATATTCGACACGTCTTACGGGCCCACTTTCATCAAATATCTACTGTCTCTCTTAGGACCAGGTATCTAGACATATTATTCTTTATTTGTTCAATGTTAAATTTTTCTTAATAGTTATTGGAAGAATATAACGTACGTAATGCCGATAAACATTGTTAATGCCCAGTTTCCGAAAGCCCGAATAATGTTAAAATCAACTAACTAGGTGTCAAGTCATCTGATTGGTTGTTGATAATTCAGTCAACCAATCAGAGGACTTGACAAGAGATTAAATTGATTTTAACATTGCCTTTTGGAAACCGGGTGTAAGCCTTTGACTGCCGACAGAAAATTATTCCAGGGAAATCTTATGCTACCGTCTCGGCGTGACCTTCGTGGCGATTAAAGTGTTAATGTCTCCCCACAGCAGATTTTTAATATTTTGTGGGAGTGCCAAATTCTCATCCTTGACGTCTAAAACAATGAATTTATTTGCCAAAATAACTTTATCTCATCTAGGTCCAGAATAACTATTCCAAATAAATTTTGAAGATCGTAATAGTTATCTTGTAATTTCCCAATTTTATATTCAACAACCATGACTACAATTAATTATGCTTTTAAATAGACACGTGTATCTTCTTATGAAGAAATATTCCGTTTCTCTACTAACTTTTCTAATAATATAACAAATTGTTTTTATAGATAATCTTCCAGCCAACCAGATGTTAACGATGCGAGTGTTAGTGAACGCATTCAGTGACCTCCCCGGGGAAATGCTGGTACTGGCTGCGAGGGAGAGTGTCGTGCACTCCCTCATATGTCTCTCGCAACTCAACAATAATGCTCAGGTATGTATAGACATAATTGACAAACGGTGAAGGAAAACATCGTGAGGAAACCTAAACTTATAATTTCTAATTATAAGCTTGAAATCGCCAATCCGTCTTGAGCAAGCGTGGTGATTAATGCGCCACACTTCTCAGTGTGAGAAAAGATCTCAGCTCCGCAGTGGGCACTTATAGGCTGATGATCACTTCCTATATGAAAAAATATTTTAACAGTTCGGTGACATTGGATAAATTAGAAATATGTTGAGGAATATCACTCGTGCGAACCCTGCGCCTATCTGCCAAGGTAAGGGCAGTTACACCCCTAAAATTGAAGTTACACGCGACCTTGAATCTATCCATCAAACGAGAAAATTATGGTAAGGTTCGGTATTGGGAAGAGACAACATTCAGTTGGCAAAACCGCCTCTAAGCCCCAGCCTTTGTTGCGCGCATGCCTTCTGGCTATGATGATCCTTATACATCTTTGTATTTTATTTTTATCCCACTATAAGAATAAATATAAATGATAAACTGAGCTGATTAGTAACAAATTCAACCTTTACAACAGATCGCAGCTACATCGTTGCTATTGAACTTATCAGTAGCGCTGGCACAACAGCCCGACAGTGTAGACCTTGCAGATTGCTTAGTGCAACTGTTGCCCAGGATTACGGACAATGAAGCCTATTTCAGGTAATATTCAGTTTCACAACCAATTAAAATCTACTACAGTACTTCATCTCTGTTTACTCAAGACAGTAAACTTATAGTATAATTTAACTGCCGACAGTAAACTGCTGAAAGCAACTCCACCACTAGCCTAGGTCATTGGTGACCTATGTAGTAGTAAACGTGCTTAATCTACTCTGATATGAACATTTAAAAATTTGTTGTCAGTGTTTTAAAACACTGACAACTTATTTTTTGCAGATCATCATCAAGTCACCATCTTAATAATGTATTTACTTTTTTGTCATTACAGAGGTCTCGTAGCACTCGGCACTCTCCTAGCAGAATCTCCAAACAAGCTACAAATTCAAACAAGAATAGTGTCCAGCACCCAATTACACAACAGGTTGAAAAAGGACAGTGGCAACACTATGGATCAAAATTACGCTAAAATAGCAACACTGTCGCAACAAGTGCTCAGTCTCTTATGAACAAAACTTACAAAAGTACTTTATAAGGCTGTTATTTATATTATTAGATTTAAACAATCATTTTTGTATGTTCATATTGACACTTCTGCTCTGGATTTGAAAAGCTGATCTTCAATATGTCGGCGGCTTCTATTCAATGTTCCTTCAGCTAATGTTCAATTGGAAATGATGAGGTGTCACAAATAAGCAATAATTTATAATCGCATCGATACTGCCTTCAATTAGGATTACATGGCTAACTTATTCTACAATAATATCTATATTGTAACCCTACTTATCCTATTGGGTGCGAAGACAAAATTATAGATAAATATTAGAATAATTTAGAACTTCGTTGTTGTGTACGACTATGATTCTTGTCGGACAACAGAAAATGGATATTATGAACTGTTGACTCTGCCCAGTTAAGTCTATTTTTTATTACACGTAATTATTACATAGTTGAATAAAACACGGTAATAGTTGAAATGTATTGTATTTCATAATGTACATGTAACTATACATTCGCTTGCTACCCGTCAATGGAAGCATGGTACAACACCAGACATTGCAGCAATAATAATAAATTGTATAAAATATTAAAATAAAAACTCTTTTATTTCATAACCTATACTTTACACATACCTAATATTTCAACTAGATATTATCAACTTCAGATGACGACTAAATATTGTTTAGAAGAATTGGATAACTTCCTCAGTCAAAACGAATAGTATCTACTTTTCAAACAATAAAATATTTAAAAAAATATGCACACACTAATATTATGTATTTGATTTTATGATACACTTAATTTTATAGGTAAAAAACAAGTATTATATTTGATGCAAAAACTATGACAACATAACTCAGAATGTCGTATACTTTTATATAAAAAAAAAGATATTGAACTTTTCTAATTAAAAACCCTATTTGCTACCCTGAGCATCAATTCTTCTAAACACATTATACATTTACATACCTAATTATATTGTAACAGTTAAATTAGAACAACAGTTAAAAAGTTACATTATTTATATCAACATTATCAATCACATTATGTTACAGATACAGGCAAAATGCCAGAGTAAATAAAAAAATAGTTACATAATATTTTACATAAGAAATGGCTGAAACGACGATCAATAATTCTCAATGCTCGAACAGACCGGGAACGTTTATATGTAGACGTGCACATCCCGTTGTTTTTATTTCAAATATATGAGACAGGAGACTGATTATGTATAATTCCATAAGTAAATAAGGTGATTATACTCACGATAACAAACAACTTTCTCAAAGAAACAATTTTTCCATAGTATTTAATTATTATTAGTTTTGTTACTACCTATAACAAAATTATCGGGCGACGACACACGGCAGGCGTGCGAAGTTTATTCTTATAGTATAAAAACTAATGAGTATAAAAAAAGTTTCTATAGGAAAGTTGTTTGTTATGAGTTTAATTAAATATCGGTCACTAATTACCAATCACCATATATAAACCATCGTAAATGGACGTCCACGTGTATAGACATCCGATCTGTTCGAGCCCTATATTCAAAATAAATTACGTGTTGTTATGAAAAGGCGTGTGACTATTATTCGAATTTTATTTATTCACAGTGTCACATCGTTAAAATTGCCTAGACATAGCCGAGCGAATGAAAATGGATTTTGAATATTATAACTACAACTCAAAAATGTAGAAATCTTAACGTTTTGATTATAAGAGCATCCGTTTAATACACTGATTATTGATAATTTTCATTATAAATTGAAACATTTATTTATTAAAATTTTGCTACAAAACATTACATGCACAATACTTAAATAAAGAAGAGCTATCTCTTCTTTTGAACAAACTTTAATTAATTCCGTGTCAGAATTACATAAAAATCGATGCTCTTATAATGCCAATACTGTTAAAAACACATATAAATTCAGATTCAAAAGTGAGCGTCGGCTAATTTTACAAAAGGCGAGTCGTATACTTGCGGGCTTTGTGACCATAAAATTTCAAACGATTTTAGTCATAAATAATAATCTAATTCAGTACAGTGAACGAATATGTAGTGAACATTTCGGTTCCCTCTCTATGGAGTTAAATTAATGGTTACTTAATCCACGTTAGCAATAGTTTTCGGAACAAAATCGCTACTAAAGAGTAGGTAATAATAAATTTAATGCCCCGCAGTAGAATAAAAGCCTATCTGTCGGTAAATTTGGCAACTACAGGTGAAACAAATATTAATAAATCCTTTATTTCGACTATCCGCAATAGTCCTACATTAACCGGGGACTGTCCTTGGGTGCATTTCCATAGTGCATACAGGGATAGTCGCCGGTTTGTGTCCCATTTCATTTAGATTAAAGTAGTCTAAAGGACCTCTGCACAGTTCGCTAAAGACCTTCATAAGCGTCCCAAATGACCGGGACCATGATGTGGTGCCGTGAATGGTAAAGACATACAATAGAAATTGTGCTGGATATTGTCACGCCCTTTCGTATCATCTACATACATAAAAATCTTCATAAATTCCATCAGTTTTTTCAAAATATTAAATTCAACAGCCAAATTACCGACAGATTTGTTTTAGAAAATATCCATTATAAGGCAAAAATAGTAACTATCGCAGATCAGAAACCTTCCAGAACCCGCGTCGTTAGACTGCTAACTACGACACTTACTTTTTCTTTTTCAACTCTTCGAATCGACGGTTCAGATCATCGAAATCAATTTCATCGGGCGCATTGGGCGCGTTAGGTAGGTTGTTTGATGTGTTCGAGTTGTTACTGTGAGGCACTGATGGTAGGATGAGGTCTGAGGGTACTGACGGCAGGTCGGGGAGTTCTGGAAAGTGGTTCGGGACTCGAGAGCGGGGCTGCGGCGTTGGCACGTTAGGGGCCGGTGGACTCGGCACGTGTGGTGGCTGGAAATAAGGTTCAAGGATTAATTACCGTTTTCTATAATGTAAAAAATAAGAGAATATACTAAATAAAAATAAATGTTGTAGGCAATTTATTAACCTTTTCAATTGGAATTCAAGACGATTTTAAATAATGATAATTTTCATGCACTAATTGCATTCAGTCTAAATATATTCTGGTAATTTCAAGCATGCCTTTACATTTCTACATACTTTTCCGAAGTGGAAATAGTAGGACTGCTATGCTTACTCTTATTTCATGCAGTAGTTATTATAAAGCTAAAAAATTATACAAAAAGAATAAAATTGGTACCAAATCATGTTGGATGCTGTCATAAGCAGGGGGCAGATTGCTCATTTCATCCTGAAAAAGGAAGAAGTTGTTTCAAGCCAAACATTCAACCGTGCATTTATAGCATTAGTTTACAATAAAACATAAAAAAATATATGAAGGAAACAAAATACGGCCAAAGTGCAAAAAAAAATGCTAGGGATAATTTTGACAATTTTTTTTGTGTTTGTGTGATATGGCAACACCAAGCAACAGAACATTAATTTATTTATGGTAACACTATTCAGAAGTGCGTTTAATACATATTAAAACTTTTAAATTTTCAACGTCTTTTCTATTTTACCTGCAAGAAACTATTGCTTAAGGATTTAGAATCAACTCCAGGAGGCAGATGGTACCCCATTGGTGGCTGGCTGGGCCCGCCGTACGATGCCGGTGGCGTCGCGATAAACCCACCCACTTTACCGCCCGAAGGTTGCTATAGTTGGAAATTAGTCACAAAATTAGCAAACAAAAGTATTATCTATATTACCATTATAAAGATGTAGAGTTTGTCTGTTTGAACGCGCTAATCTACGGAATTACTGGTTCAAAAGGAACAATTATTTTTGTGTTTGTTAGTCAATTTAAATAGGATGGCTATAGGCTGTATATATAACAACACGCTACGATCAGTAGGAGACGAGCAGCGGGTGAAGCCGCGCGAGAGTAGCATTGTGTTATTTATTGTACTGTAATATTTAGAGAGAAATTAAATTTCGAACCACAGCCTAACGCCATGAGTTTCTTTGTTTATTAATACGGCCGTAATTAGCCCGAAACAACAAGAGTGCACTTTACATGTCATGTGGATTCCCCACATGACATGTACAATATTGATTATGTTTTTAAACTTCAAGTGTCATGAATCAACAACTCAATATCAATTCAAATCTAAATATTTAATTAACACAATTGTTAATCATAATGCGTGTTTAAGTAATAAATACGATGTAAGTATAAGTTTCTTTGACTTTTGCAGTCACTATTTGAGACAATAGAAAATATTTCAAAATCGTATTTCAAAAATTCATTTTAATAATACAAGTTTTCTTAAACTTACTTATAAAGAGACAACTGTACTGGTGCTAACATATTACATTTTAATGAAGTAAGCAACATCACAAACAATATTATTATACTTACAGAAGGGTAGGAAAATGGTGTCACTGATGGTGGTGGTCCACTGGGCAGGTTGGGCATGGTCATAGTTGGTTGCTGCGGGTAACCGATAAAACCAGGCGGCATTGGGGGACCATTTATGTCTATCAACATTGCATCCCGACCTGTGAACAATGATGTTGGTAGAATAAAACAAATTGTGTTTCTTGAGGTAAACTTCAGAACAAGAAGAGATATCCAGGTCAAATACATCAATATTTGATCAAGCAGTTATTACTCAAATCAATTTATTTAGATAATTTCAGTTCCTGTCTCTCTAGAACTCTTATTTAGTTTAACGGAAAAAAGGTAAGAAGTGAAAGTATAAGTTCAAAGTTAATTTCTGACTTTCAAATGATTTCAATAGGGTCACTCAAGGTGTCTTTATACACTGCAGTTTTAAGAAGTTAGCCTCATCACACCACTTAACTTCAACTTAAAAAGAATACACTGATCTGGCTCAATACTTAAATAAAAATTTATAAACATCATCAAACAAACAACCAAAAATATGCCAATAATGATACATACCTTCTTCTTCCCTCATGACTTGTTCATCAGGTACATACTCAACATTGTAATTCTTAGCTATCTCTATCAGGTACTTCTCCACAAGTATCTTGGGCGGACTTTGAACTGACATCTTGTGTTTCAATTTGTCACTCAGGGTGTTCACATTTTCATTTCTACAGGCATCCGCATAGATCTTTCCATATTTAGCTGTGAGTAAGTCTGATATTACTTTCAGTTCCTGTAAGGAAATTTTTTGTTAGAGAAGTTACTTAGTTATTAGTTATCAGTTAGTTATTCAGAATCATTGATTTCAATTAGACCCATACAGGCACTTTTAAATGTCAAAAAAAAAACAATGCTTTTTCTTGTGTCCTGGGTGTGTTTACTAACATACAAATCACACCCAAACCCAAAACAACAGTTTGGATCTCACAAACAGTTGTTCCGTTTTGGACGCCAATCATGCAGTCAAATGAAAAAAACCAATCAACAAGTTGCTTCAGTCCATAAGTCCTTCCAATAAGAAAAGTAACAGCCAATTAAAAATAAAGCAGAACAACATAGCAAACAATTTTTACAAAAAGTCATAAATAATAATTCTATAATCTACCTGAACATCAGTATGCATCCTTGGCGCCACCCATATAAGACTGGAGATGGCCTCGGCGAGTCCTTCATCAAGCTCCTTCATCTGGGTCACAAGTCCAAACCTTGCCAATATAAGATCACAGTACATCTCCACTATTTCCATAGCTTCCACCATGTAATCCTCTCTGCAACAAACATCATTCATAGTTTATTAAAACCTAATGTTGATTTTGCCTTTGGATTTGTCCAATCTACTTATATAGAGTATAATTTTTGAGCAAATAAGCAGATTAGTTGTACCGTATATAACTTATACATTTTTAACATTAGTTAAAACAGTTTTGATTATAGAAATTTGATGACAAAACGATTTAAAGACTAAAAACTTTTCAGAAAGTCCTACTAAAATTTTTATTTCTAGTTCTTATGGATAAATATAGTTTTTATTGGGTTGTTTTTGTCTTTTCGTGTGAACATAATGTACTAATTATCTCTTCTTTAATAGATTAAATCATTGACATCAGTCATTCATTTGGTCTATTAAACTAATTCCGCCTTGCCTATTATACCATGACGCAATGCGTTATTTTGTACAAAGTTGATCAAAAATCTGTCTCAAGGACAAGTTTGTTTGTAGAATGTTGTTCTATTTCCTACACAATTATCAATTTTTCTCACCTGATGATATGTTCCACGCGTATCTTAGCTCTCTCACTTTTACCAGCAGCTATATATTCAGCGATTTCCTTCCTGGCTTTCTGAGCTAATTCTGTTTTCTTCTTCTCTAACAATTTGAGCCTATTTATAGCAAGTCTCAAATGAGTTTTGAGTTTAGTATAGTTGGGATTTGTTGAAAACATTTTGAACAAAGTTTGTAGTTAATAATATTTTTTAAATCGCACGAGATTTCGAGTGACTAACGCCGTAAATTTATTTATTGTTTGCAATCTATGAATCACCGCACGAACAAATCATTGAAACGATCGTTCCAGACCAAGTCAGGTCAATTGTCAAAAAGTTGGCGGCTGACAACAGGATAGCATAATATTGTTACACTATGTGTGAGAAAGACAGCTTGAAATTATGCTACAATTTTCAGAAGAGAAAAATCTCTCCACATCTGTCAATTACGTTTAGTTATTACAGATGATTAAAAAGTAATACAAATTCGATTAATTTTAATTTATTTATCACCATCATGGACCTAGAAAAAAAACCTTTTTTTCTAGGTCCATGATCACCATTATCATGGTACTATTCACCGTCTATTCACCGCCAAAAGGAGCCCGTTCACCTTGGCTCCTGCTTTTCGGGATGTGTCCCTGGAGTGCACCGACCGCCTTCAGCTCTTGGGAATGGACATTGCTTCAGACCTCAACTTTGGGCGGTTCATTGAGTCCAAAGCCAAGGTAAAGCAGGGATGTTATGGATATGAAATTTCGGTTACGGATTGGATACGGATATAGGAATGATTATTATACCGGATACGGTTACGGATACGGATAATAAATTATTTCGGATTATCCGTTACTTTCGGTTACGGATATTATATTTTTAAGGAATTTTAAAAGTAAAATTCTTCGTACTTATCACTCTGTTGTGATTTAAGGTGAAGTTTAAGCGATCTAGTCCCACCTCCTTTCCTTGAAAAGCTTTTACCACACTGTTTACATTTTGCGACTTCGGTCATTTCATCAAAAAACGACCAAACTGCACTCGATTAAGGACGTATTTTGTACAAATTCAATCGATTCCGTAACACAACCAACACATTTGTCAAAGAAGAAAAAAAACAAACAATGCGCGCAGTGTGTGTCGGCACTTGCAGCGGCCGGCCGATCAAAAAAACTTGTCATAACGTGTCTCAATAAGGCTCCGCCCCTATCCGATACTACCCGAAACTTTAATTTCGGATTCGGTTACGGTTACGGATGATTTTTTATATCGGATATCCGATAGTTTCAGTTACGGTTACGGAGCTCCCTAACACCCCTGGTAGGTAGCTAGAAAACTCGGCGATCTTGCAAAAGTCCGACGGTACTTCACACCGAGTCAGCTTCTAATGTTGTATAAAGCTCAGGTCCGATCGTGTGTGGAGTACTGCAGCTACATATGGGCTGGTGCTGCAAAATGCCACCTAGCGGCTTTGGATTCAGTGGAAAGGCGTGCAAAGAGGCTGATTGGTGATCCAGATTTGGTTGGGTTCTTCAAAGTCTCGAGCACAGGCGCAGAGTAGCCAGCCTTGCGGTTTTCTACAGGATGCATTTTGGAGAGTGTGCGCAGGAATTGCACGATTTGATTCCGCCATCCCATTTTCACGGCGTACAGCAAATATCCACTCTTACGTGGTTGAGACACCTGCGGCCCGGACTAAGCGTTTTGCCTCGTCATTTATACCGCGTAGGTACATCGAGGGATTGGAACAGTTTGCCGGCTGCAGTCTTTCCGTCCGAATACAAATTAGAGGTCTTTAAGGCTAGAGTGAATAGGCTCTTAATAAACTAGTGCGCCTTACCATCAACGATTGCATCACTGCTTACCATCAGGTGGGGTCGCAGTCAAGCACTAGTTTATTGCAAGTAAAAAAAACGGAAATTGGAAACGATAGTGTACAAAAGGTAATATTACAATAAGTACCCACTATAATGACGTCGGTTCGGAATTTCTACTGATCCGGAATTTTCCAGACATGTCGGGTTTAGGTCTATATTTAAAATACTAGAGAATTCAGTATAAGCCGTCTTGATCTTTTTTTTTTACAATTTTTTTTATGTTATCGTACACCACACAATCTGATGTGAGCTATTAATGCGGTTACGACCTTTTTGAGATTAGGGTTATTGAGATTTAGGGGTTGGGAGCGAGGGGAAAGGTTAGGCCTTCGGTAACCTAATACAGACGGCGAAACAAAACACAACGCTGTGATTGTTTCACGCCGGTTTTCTGGGAGGCCGTGGTATCAGTCCGTTCGAGCAGACCCACTCGTGCCGAAGCATGGCTCTCCCACACAACTAAAAAAGAGAGACTTTGTGATTGAAAGATGCCATTATTTTATTATCACTTTTCAGTGTTCATAAATCGTTTTTTAAAAGACAGCCTGGTTAAATGAATATAGCTACCTATATCTATTTGATAAATCATTCTGAAATTTTAAGATTTCATCTGTACGAGATCATACCTAATTAGTGTATCGTACCAAAATTATTAGTGAAGGAAGAGGTCTTCATTTAATTTCCATTGTTCATAAATCTGTTCTTAAAAGATAACATGGTTGCGACTGTCTAGGTTTCGCCATGAAAATTACCTAAGTAGGTACTTGTTACAGAATACAGAACATAGATTCAAAAGCATAAGTAGGTACTGTGTTAAACAGTAGTGATTGTGATTTCGCGTATACCTAATAAATGTGATCTTTATTTAAAAAATGCAGGTAGGTACTCAATTAATTCTTTATACCTGTAACGCATATAGGTAAGCACATCATTCAACTACCTACCCAACCATTGAAAACTACGCACGCAAATCAAATTACGACTGCACGGTTGGCGCGGTGGTTGGTCAACTGGGTACCCCGCAACGTGTCGCGGGTCGATTTCCGCACGGAACAACTCTTTGTGAGATCAGTGACTCCCAAATCTTATTCCGGGTCTGGCTGTGCTGTGTATGTGAAATTATGACTGTAAACGCACCCACGATATGGGAGAAAATCCAAGTGTGGGGTCAATCCAATGTAAAAAAAAAGTTATAAAATTTAAATATATTTCCAAGTTTTTTATTAAACTGGAGATTAGTGAACGGCGAGACGTGGAAAGAAGATTAAAATATAATTCGGGTAATCTTTCATGTTTGTAAATATATTTGCAAGCATTGTGGATGTCCCATTAGATTTGCTATAACTCTACATTTTTATCACTGATATTATAATGCGTAAAAATTTGTAAGTTCGTATGTAGGAGGTAATTTTTGCTGATCGGATTTCCAAAATTCCGTCACTGATAGATACAGTAGGTATTCCTGAGTGCTATAGCCTATAAATTATAGTTGATTTGCGTATTTTAGACGAACTATCGCTTTTAAACGCTGCGTTATTTAAATCCTGGTATACTTACAGTACTAACTAGTAGGCGGATGCTAGGAAGTAGAAGAAGGTCAATAAAACAACCCTTTTACAAAAATTAACATTTTATTTCGTTTCTTACACAATTATAATACTATTAAGTTGTGCTACCTTGTGTAGCTGACCATTTATCTATATCTAGGTACACTAAAGAGTATTAGTAGTTAGTCAACATTCGATACATCTGATTAGTAAAAAATCTTACGTCTTAGGTATTATACACCAAAATTAATACTTTCCTAGTTCATCATATTAACGAACTTACGATTTTTACATACATTCTGTATAGCTATTTGATTTGATATTACATAACAGGCATCATAGTTAAATGCTATCATCAAATTGTAACAATTTCGTAACAAAAATATCATTATTTCATTATTTTGTTTTTTAAACTTTGTGCTAGGTATGTACGTATAGGCATTTCCTTAAATTAGACTATTTTGTAAATTGAGTTTACTTAACGATTAACGCCCTAGGCATCATTAAATAAGTACTTCACGAAATACAACGTAAGTTTTCACACTTACGACATTTAAGTACATTGAAGTGAGAATTACTGAGGATACAACCATAATAACTATAAGGTGAGTAACAATTATTATAAATGATGAATAATAAAACAAAAGAACGCACTTCTTGACTGTTAGGTACCTAACTTACTTATCTTCACTCACTTTTCAAGTTGCCATAGAATAGAATAAACATTGAGAAGAATATTTTACATTGAATTGTGTAGTTAATACGGCAGTATCCTCATTAGAAAATTATTCACACGAAGCGGGTCAACACGCGGGCGTGGTAAAAATATGAAATAAAAAAATAAAAGCCTAAAATACAACAGTGCTAAGTTTTCCCGCTTCGGTGTGACTTTCAATACAATATATTTTTTTATTTAAGTAAATTAAGTAGTTGGAATGCAGGACATACTTTAATATTTTAGCCCTATGTCCAAATTATTTAACATTTGCACATCATACATATTCTTAATATGATAATATACATACATATATTTTATTAAGTAGGGTTTTTTAACAATTTCATCGTGAATGTGAATTGACATTAATACTTATATGCTTAGAACAAGAATACACCAATTAAATAACAGTGCAAAGTAACATTTAAATACTTAAACATGTATAGAATTATAAAGTCTAACATTAAGTACATCAGCTCATGATCCTATGTATAATAATAACGAATAGCACATAATAAAATTAGTAGTATTCAAATCACACGTGAGATCAGAATAAGTAGGTAAAACATTTACGGTACTTAACTCAAAATGCAAGCTAAGCTCGTTAAGATCTTATATTGTCCCATGTGAATTATTTATGTGATAATTATTGTCACATCGATCATTTCTATAAATTGATTAAATACAAGTCACGAGTATTTACAAAGACCAAACTACAACAGTAAATAAGAGAAAACAGCGTATAACAAAAATAAAAATGTAAAAAAATAATACTGGTTTGTCACAAAAATACTTCAAAACATGGCTTACTTAACTACTTACGAATTAGTTCTAACATTCAGTCGTTTTCGGAGAATTTAATATTACTCGTATCACTAGACTTCTTAACAATTTTATTGTGAGAATTATCGTAGTCATCGTGTAAAACAACGGTGGTGGCGCTGGCATTAGAGGGACTTTGGGAGTGCGTGAGATTCGTACGACTGCTGTCTGCTAGGTGCTCCAGCTCATGGCTTTCTAAATTTGGAACACCCGAGCAAACAGAACTTACTCGCGAAACTGTTTTTCTTTCTTCTGCAGGAGATTCTTTCGCAGAATTACTTCCAAGTAATTGAAGAAGAGAACACAAGAAAAATGTTGCATAAGTCCAACTGACTACCATTATCAGAGCTAGAAAAGACCCTATCTGCGAATAAGGCAGGAGATTTGAGCGCAATAAAAATATTCCCGCGAAACCCGTCGTCAACGCTGCAGCCGCAGTTGGACCAGAAGACGACGACAAAGCACATTTGACTCTCGCAGACTTTGCTCCATTAGCATTAGCATAGGAAAGGGCATAGTGGAGATTAAAATCCACAGCTAGCCCCGCCGAAGTAGATATTGCTACACTTTCTAACACATTGAGCTTCCAACCATGTAATACTAATATAGCTATAGTTATAGTTGCGGAAAATATCATGGCTACTAAAGCGCACGAGCTAATCACGAGGCTTAACGTTGCCGGTACAAGTACTATAAAACCTAATGCAGCTGACAGTATAAGGGCGATCACAGTTCCGCTAGCTAATGTTTTTTGTAGATCATAAAATTGCAAGTCAGACAAAAACCAACCACTTTGCATACCTGGTGGTGCATATTTCAACTCATGTTCTGTCCAATTTTCTACTTGGCTGTAAAAATAATCCATTTCTGTGTATGACATAGAGTAGGGCACAGTACTCTCAAATTCTATTACAATTGCTGAGACTGTTGGATTGGCACTTCTACGAAATTTAGGGCCAGCCACACCAGGCATAAACAGTTCACGAGGAGTTTGATATAAGGATTCCATCGCTTTTATTAAACAGAATTCAAAAACTTCTTTTTTATAAGGAAAAGGAGATGTCTCACAGCATGGTGTTCTATTAATTTTGTCGATGTGATCAATACAGCGCCTACTCATGTACATTTTGAAGCTCTCAATGAAACAGTTGGGGAGTAATGGACCTAAAGTAGGTTGGAAAAACGACTGTCTTTTAATTCTACTACAAAATCCAGACAACCACTTTTGAGAATCAGGATCTGACACTGAAAAGCTATGATCAAATTCTATATGACCCTTAGAAGCAGGGTTCATATGATTTCCATTATCTATAGCCTTGACTCCCCAGACCCATCGGAGAGGCATCTTACTGCCAGTACCAATATCTTTTCCGAATCTCTCAAATAAGAACTTGCTACTGTAAACCATATCATACTGTTCAAAAGGATGAGAAGTTTGAAAAAGTTGGAACTGATTTAGGTCTGGCAATTGTAGGCCAGGGTAGTAGAAAACTATAACAACACTGCCAATACCAATAGCACCCAATACTATAACAAACATTATGTACAATCTTGTTACACAGGTTATAATAAATACATTCAGCATCACTCTGATATCCTCCCAAAATTCATTAATATTTTTGTGAATTACATCTAAAAACTTTCTTCGATTTGTACACAATTTTACATCTACAATAAATACTGACGCTGGCAACATACTAATCATTAAAAAAAAGTTGACTAGGACAGCTGTACCTGCAAAGACACTAAAGCAGTTTATGGCTGGAATGTAGCTGACATAGGATGCTAGGAATGCGACTGCTGTTGTCAGGGTGGTGACGGCCATAGTTGTTATGGAGTGCTTCATGGTCTCTACAAGTATTTGTATTAGTATAGTTTCTCCTGCACTGGACACATTCTTTATGTCACTTAAACCATTTTCCTGACTAACAACATTATCTCGAATGAGTTGTTTGCTTGCCATTTTCCATACTTTGACATAAAGAAATGCATCATCTGCCCCAATACCTATCACAACAACTATTACTAATAAATTCATAAAGGGAAAAAATTCCAAATTGAACACATAGATATACAAGAAGTATGCTATACCAATTGAATATGTTATAGCTATAAACAACAGCAGAGTAAGAATAATAGATTTTGTATAGACCCACACACACATAAATACAAAGAGACCTCCTAAACCTATCAACCAGGTATCTTGAATTACCCATAAGTCAAAAAGTGTATTTTTCAGTCCAAAGTCCATGGCAGGTATTACAAGTGTCTCATAAGATAAATTTGAACTTTGCAATATTTCATAGTAAGGTAGCACGGTACTGCTGCTTGCCAAGGGTAAAAATAGCATGACATTCTTAACAAAACTCTGTGAGAGATCAGACGGAGTAAATGCTTGTGAATCTATGAGATAAAATAATAAGTTATATATGGCATCATACTGAGAACAATACTTTGGAACCTTACACCTATCTAAGTCACAAGAGGCCATTAATGAGAAGTTATGAAAGTAGCCGGCACACTTCTTCAAGATGGTAACTGCGTTACTTACATCATCTCTACTTAAATTTTCACAGGAAGTCTTGCCTGACATTAAAGCTATGTAGTTTGGCACGCTCCACACTGGGCAACAGATGTCTTCAGAATGTAGATCCCTTTGGCACATCTTGTAATATTCTGCTTCTCCAAGCTCTATAAGCATGGACTGCAGTCTACACATCCTTCCTACATTTTCAAATGTTAATAAAGATGTATTATCTGTACTAGTTACAACTAAATGAGCATAATCTGATATGGGTGGTCCACAGGTTCCCGATGCATAATTGTGGTTTATGGGCTTATCGGGTTTACGCTGCATTTCTTTTATAGATACCCATTGTTTTCTTGTGTGATCTTTGAGGAAAACTGCATTTTCATCTTCAAATGTTTTGTTCTTTCCAAATCCCCAATGGACATGAGTACTAGATATGTTAGGTTCTGACAGTGGCCAATTCTTTTCAAAATTTGTCTCGTTGTTATGATGAACTTTTTTCTTTTTGTCACGTCCTTTTTTCTTAGTTCGGCCGCGACCTGACCTCGGTCTGTCCTGCCGTGTTCTGTTGTAGTAGGTTTGGTTCATGCGAATCTGATCCTCAATTTCTTTTGGATTCACCGCGAGACTTCGAGAGGGTCTTGTTTCATCAATGAGGTTCTGCCATGCAATAAACCGATGAGCTAAGGTGGTTCCTCGCGTTTCAAAACCCAATAAGGGATCAGAAAATGATGGTAAGTCATGGCGTGTCAGTGGGATCACAGTAAGGATGGTTGAGATCCCGGCTACAGTGAAGAATGTAATGTAGGAGTGGCGGACGATAAACCTGGCGTAAGCTGACAACATCTTTATATAATGATGACCTCACGGGCCTCATAGTTATTTTACTCCACCATCTTCTCATATCAGCTTGACACATACCCAACTAAGTAAGCTAATTATAAAGGTAAAATAATGGGGATCACATTTTGCAAAACAAAATACACAACACAACACATTAGAAAAATGGAAGGAATAAAGTTTACCCCTACACAAAATACACAACTTTGAACTGCCACAGAATAAACATAATGTTATCCATCAAAATTCCGACTTGTCAGGTTGACCTCAGGTCCATTCGGGTAGAGTCGAGATACTATGGATAGCGTCTGGGTCCATTTGAAATTTTAAATTCAAAAAAAATACAGTAATAAACGTGTGATTCATGGAATTTTTAGTACAATCCATATGTGTTTAACCTAGCCATGCGTGGATAAAAGAAGGTCGCAAGTTAATAAGATTACCGACTTCACTTTAAAACAAAAAATAGGAGCGTTAAAGCATGCAATTGGTGGGCAATTAACTTATCGGTGGGCAACTGGCTACTGTGCAACATGACGCAAGTTTGATTTCGATACGGATTAAAAAACCGTATTATTTGTTTGGCATTTCGTACGTATGTGAACGCACCTTTGAACCCGCGGGTCTGCCGACAAGAACCAGATCCGAGCGTGCAGCACGTGGATTTGCGCGCGCGCCTCAAAGAGCCAATAGACCACCACAGACGGGGCCTTATATTCAGCCAGGGTTGCGGGGTAAGCGCAATGAGGCAGCGCGGCCTCGGCACAGGGCAGGAAAAGGAGCAGGGGAGTTTTAAGTCAGTAAAAGTCTGATACTCCCTCCAGATCGACCCTGGGCGGGAGAAATCATTCAACACAGGCCATGATCCTAGTGCGGGATAAAGATTAACAATAGTTTATTTGTATCTCAACAGTTTGTTGTGAAGATTACTTAATAAATAGGATATGAGAAGACCCCACAGCGTTGCGTTTCGCCCTGTGAGTAAGGTTAACGGAGGCGCAATTCTTCTTCCCGTCCCCCAATCCCGAAATCAAAATTCTCAAAAGGCCGACTACGCCCTCGTAATTACTCTGCTGTTGCGGGTGACCATGGTCGGCGACGATTGCTTAAAATCAAGTACCTAAACCATAATTATGATAGTTTATCTTGACACACTAAAAAAATATAACAACTTAAGTGAAGCCCATTTGCCTAAACGTGAGTGTGAATGTAAAAAATTACCACTGTATTGAATAATTTTAGCCAAGCACAAACTGATAAGATACTAATTAACTTTTGATTTTTTAATAATTTTATCATGATATCTGTTATTTTGTGTTTTGAGTCTTTGTACTAGCAATTACTATAGTTTTAAGAAATATCATAGAATAATAACATACCGGACATTCAAAACTTGTGTATGTCATAGAACTAGAGGTCCAAATTGTAGTCGTGTTTCGGGTCCAATAATTACTCGTGCAAGATATAGACAAAAAGTATGATTCGTGTAGATAATTTTTACTGGCAATTTGTCATTGCAACTTTTTTGGTCCTAATGAATAAACAAAAACAGTTACAACTGAGATATTAAACAATTTGTTTCGAAATGATAGTTATAAAGTTTCATGGGTATTTTATAACAAGTTATTTAAATTTTATCAAGAGGTCACAAGATTAAATTTTCTTTATATTTTGTTATTGCAACCCTCTTATTGTCTATGACAACTTGTGATCACAAGACCTCTTCGCTTTTGAGTTTTCTGTCAAGGCAAAAATTGGGCGAAAAAAGGCCGTCCCTTTTGGGAATATCGGGTAAAACAGCACCAATTTGCTCATAAAAATACTTCAAGATGAGGTACTTCCTAACTTACCTGTTCGCGCTGATGGTGGTGGCCGTGATTCCAGTAGTGTCTATGTTCTATCTTCTCCAAGGAAAGGGTGAGCAACTCAGCATTGGATGGTTCCTGGAGAACACGTCCCCTTACATGTGGGGCACGTTGGGAATCGCGTTTGCCGTAGCTCTGTCAGTAGTGGGTGCAGCTATGGGCATCCACACCACGGGAGTGAGCATAGTCGGAGGCGGTGTGAAAGCTCCAAGAATTAAGACTAAGAACTTGATCTCCGTCATCTTCTGCGAAGCCGTCGCTATTTATGGATTGATCACTGCCATCGTGTTGTCTGGAATGCTGGAAAGGTACACAGAGCCTTTGACTGATATCACTATCAAGCAAATGAACTGGATGGCTGGATATGTGATGTTTGGAGCTGGTCTGGCCGTGGGTCTTGTCAACCTCTTCTGTGGTATCGCCGTCGGAATTGTAGGATCTGGTGCTGCCCTGGCTGATGCAGCCAATGCTGCTCTGTTTGTCAAGATCCTAATTGTGGAGATTTTCGGATCAGCCATTGGTCTGTTTGGTCTTATTGTTGGTATCTACATGACATCAAAGTGCAAAATGGGCAACCAGTAATTTAAGAATTAACTTAAAACTTGAATGTAAGTGTAAGTACTCATTCATTATTTGCATTTATAAAAATGTAATTATTAGTACACTGTGGGAAAATGTGATGATCAAACTGTAACCATGATTCATGCCAAGTTTCAATATAAAACCTATATTTTGTGTTTTTAAATCTAGTCTAATTTTCATTAGAACTGAAAACTTTTAATTATGTTTTACTTAGAAATTAATATTTGTCTTAAAATATGTCATGTACATTTCAAAGTTTCTTGTACAATTCTTATAAGAATGGCTGTGTATGTAAAATGTTTCTTTTCCCATTGCAAATTAAATGATAATATAAAAATAGCTTTATAATCTAGGTCACATGATCTTTCAAGTATGGACATCTAGATGTTACAGCATGTTTCAGTCAGTTGACAAATAGTTACATTATGTAAAGTGTTCACATCCTGCCTTGTTTTCCTTAAGCTTACATACTGTATGAAATTAATAGATTCTAAGGAATTATTAATTATAATGTTACCTGTATATGTTATTAAAGTATTTGAGATAATAATGAGTTTTTTATTGTTTTCAGTGTACATCGGCACTGGATGTTACCAGCCTTGACCTCCCTAAACAGAGTATCCAGTGCTCACATATTTATATACCGAAGAAGCTTCAAGTTACTATAATTGCAGTGTTGAACTTGTGTATCTTTCCTGCCTGCTCTTTGTTGATGTGTTTTAAAACATAAATTATTTTTTTAATCTTAAATCAAAAAATATCTGATCTTAGCACTCCATAGCAAAGTAGCTTAAAGTAAAATTAAATTTTTGATGTTATTAATGTACTATAAATTTACTATAATTGTTGTTTCATGTATTAAGGCATTTGTGCTAAGATTTGAGATATTTGAACAGAGGTTTGGTTTGTATTTCAGTATTCTATTGACAACTATTTAGCAAACTGTTGAGATTGTGTTGTATTGAACCATAACAGTGTCCTAATTTGGAAATGACTAGGCACACACTGTTCTTAGAGTTTCCGTGGCCTAATATAAAGCTCTGCCTTGACATAACTACAGTATTGTGCCTAGTCATTTATAAGGCTTATACATTCCATAAAACCTTGTTTCAAGTTTTGTAAAAGCTTCTATTGGTCAGTCTGTAACCCGTATTATACATAAACATAGTAATAAAATATTAATGTACATACATTTCATTATTGGTGTGATATGTTATTTTCCATTCGACACAAGTTATGAAAAGGGTGATGTTGGTGGCACTGTATATAGCCATCAATAGCATTCTATTGTTAACATATTAGCAGAGCACAAAGTTATACAATTATTTAGAAAACATCTTTCTTGACAGAAGAAATGAATGGAGTGAACTAAAGCTACATGTGTCTGCTTGGAAAATATCGAAATTGTTAATGTTTTCTGGTATTGATAAAGCACGGTTTCCCTATTAAATTATTATATGAGAAAATAAATATATATCAATATGATTGTATACTCCCAATTGTAAATATTAGTTTGCTTACCTCTTACTAATTTATTGTACGTACTTGTAAATTCAACTGCATAAACTTAACTATAGGAGTTAATTTGTTGCCACACATTGTTGGTATATTCTATATCAATTGATTATCGACATTGGCTCTTAGCGCAGTGTTCAAATTTCGGAACAAAACGAACGAGAAAGTATTATGTCAGTCTTAATCAATTTACTGATGTAATTCTAAGTAAATATATTTTATTTGTGCAAATGTAGATATTATGTATGTTGATGAATAAATAGATAAAAAGTTGTACAATAATATTTTCATTTTCTCTTTACTATTTATTATATTGGCCCTGTTATGTTACGTTGACGTAGATTTTATCCCAAAACTTGGTATTCTTTGAGATATCCATAGGCGTGTCTGAAATGAGGAAGTGACCCTGATATCGGTTCCCATTGACACTGAAATAGTCTTAAAATTAACCTTGAAGGAACTATGGGACGTAAGTTGCGTTATTTAACATTTTTTAGATACTGAAGTTAAATAGAAATTAGTAAAACATTAGAAATTACTTCTAACAGCAGCTTTCGAATTATTTATTTATAATTATCATCATATCAAATAATTTTAAAATCCTGGAAGATAGAATGAGACAAAATATAAGTGCCGTAATCAATTTAGTGTTGATTCTGTGATTATCACGAATGCGCGTGAGTGGCGCTTACGTTGTTGATTATGAACGATAAGAATATTGTGTGTGTATGATTACGTATACTATAGGTACTAGCGAGGGTAATGATAGGTGTAAAGATTGCGAGAAGATCAAGCCTTGCCCTATGAACAGCACAGGGCCAAGGGCAATTAAAAAAAGGTACCTATCTACTAGATAGCAAATTGTGCAGAGGAAAGAATATTTCAAGAACTTTTTTGTAATAACTTGTCGGAGTTAGTCGAAGGGTCAATGCCCAGAGTGGGATTCTCCTGCTCCCTCTGGTCGCTATCGATGAGCAACTCTAGCGGCCATAGGTACTGCGCTTACGCTTACGATTATTACGCTTGCGATACTTCCACCGCGAAACCGGTAGGTAGGTATCTAGGCGTCATTGAGAGGACCACCCTGAGGATAAGGTGGCGGTGTGCCCTGCTTGGGCTGAGCATAGCCGTGTCCTCGGCGCGTAGCGTTCCGCGAGTGTCTCAATGAACCAAAAGACCATCACAGACGGGGCCCATAAGCGCAATGAGGCACCTCCACCTCGACCCCGAGCAGGAGTAGGAACGGAGGGTATTAAGTCAGTAAGAGCCTGACGACACTCCCTCCCGCCTTTGGGAGAAGACATTTGCTGATTTTCACCTCAAAAAAAAAATAACAAAAACTATAATAAAGGTACGGTACCTAGGCGGTAACGCGTGTAGATAATAAGTAGACCTTGCCTTATAACTGCTTATGAAAAGAAATTAGTGTAGCTTTTTAAAAAAAAGTGAGTATTTTGACGTTTGTGTATAGGCGAAGGCGAGATTAGAAGCGGAGTGGAGTGTGACTTTCAAGATGAGTTTCGATTTACCATTTACAGAATAGCAATGCTGTTTCGTATTCAGCAGGAGGAAACCGTTTGTCAGTGTTGTGAGGACCACACGGAGGACATGGTGGCACACCGCCACCATATTATGTTCCACTGTGACATTTATGTAAGTAGGTACATTAGATATGTAGGTATGTTAGGTAAACCTACAGATATTTGAAAAGTTCTTTGACACACGTAAATGGGATACAATCTATCCCGTCATCCTTTATTTAGGTTTGCATAAGTGCCTACACAAATCGTTAATGAAATTCTTCTTTTGTTCATTTTCAACGAAATCCCAGGAGTAGGTACCTAATACAAAACCTTATGTTTCAGTAATACAAAGCCAATTTTTTATTATGTAGGTATAAAGAAAACTGTATGTTGACAAGCATACCTAGTAGAAACTTTAATAAAAATACTTCGAGGCTAGCTGGTCTAATTTAATTATTAACGTAAATTTTTAATGTTAAACAACAATTCAATTTTAAATGTTAAGTAACAAAGAAAATAATTAGGAAACTTATTGAAAAAGAGTAACCATGGTCTCTTGCTCGTTCTTTTTCATAGGAATCTACAGTTTGGGACGAACAAATATTGTACTCCTCTGGTGTTGGAGGACTTGTAGGTGTCCAATGGCGGCGCCGATCGCTTACCATCAGGTGATCAGTCTGATCGTTTGCCACCTATTCCATAAAAAAAATAGCTTTACCTACTAGAGGATAGACCGACAGACTGACACAAGAAGTTGAACTTTTTGATTGGCGTTTAAATTTGCCTAGTGGTCTAAGTATTTGAAACATGAAGTACCTAGGTTTCCATTTCTACTTCATAATTAGAAATTAATTATTAGACCTCTAGGTTTTGAGGTAGATATGGCAAGGTTTTCTTTACTAAGACAAAAACCAGTCCTAATCCTTAGTATTGCTATCCTCGAGAATCAGCAAAATACCTATTCACACGGGGCTAAATAAATAATTTAAGATGAGATTTAAATAGGAGTTCATTTTATTCAGGCTTCCTCACTTAAATGTCTAATTTGAGCCATGCTTCGGCACGACTGGGTCGACTGGAGTGATACTACGGCCCCATAGAAAAACGCCGTGAAACAGCCACAGCGTTGTGATTCGCCGTGGGAGTGAGGTTACCGGGGGCCCAATTCTTCCTCTCCCCCAATCTCTATATCCCCAAAGAGTCGGCAACGCAATTGTAACTCCTCCGTTGTTGCGGGTGTCCATGGGCGGCGCTGATTGCTTACCATCAGGTAATCCGTATACTCGTTTGCCGTGCTATCACACAAAAAAGGATATGCAGGTCTTCATTTAGGTAAGTATTTACTTGATACTGAATATAAATAGGTCGCTAAATCAACAAACGAAACAAAACGAAAAATTTAGCAATAAAATATTTTATTTCATTATAAAACAATTCAAATGTTTTGTACCACTATTTATAAACATTGCCTGTAAACGTACAATATAGAAAATGGTGAAAAGATACATAAAATATCACAAAATGGAATGTAAGATACAAAAATGAGCCAAATATGTAGGTAAATTGTAAAAGTGGCAAATGCAATCATACAAGGCAAATTCGAATCTCTTACGTAAGAATATAAAATAATGTTTACATTACATAGGTAATACATAAATAGTACATTGAGCAAAATGAAACGGAATCGTAAGAAGTTTCTATTAGGTTCTATTAGGTATTTATTACCTCTGTTTTTTATGTCCAGAAATATTGCTCTGGATAAACATTAGAATACAAATATAATATTTTATTAAAAGTAAAGCGAAGACAAGTAAGTATTACGACTACATGAACACACAATAGATTTATAGTAGTTTAAGTGAATTAAATTGCCACTTTTAATATTATATCTGTGTGAAGAAACGCCTGAATCTATTGAACAGCAAACAGTAGCAGATCTGTTGAAAAATATTCATCTATGTTCATTAAATATTAATTATGGCAATCTGACACTACAGAATATCTAAATAAAGCTTTCACATAATATTATACTATTATCGTAGTCCCTAATTAACTACTATAAGTGTAAAAATCTATTATTTACAAAATAGGTGGACTCTTCGTTAAAATGCTAGAAATGCACACAACACGCTATTTACAAAGTAAATAGAAATATATAAGTTTTATTATTGAAATAATAATAAACATACCAACGTGGAAATAAAAGAATTACATCCTTTTTCGAATACTGTTTTTCAACTTTAGCGGGAAAGAAATGTTACCAAGAGTCAAAGGTCAACGCTCTCACACAAGTTAATAATGTAAAAATGCATTCAAAAATTACACAAACATTATCCTTCCTACATAATCTTATTCTAACGTTGTTTACAAACGATAGTTTTGGTTTTCTTATATAAAAATAAAAGTAATTCATATTTTGCACTAAATTTTATAAAGTGAAGTTTACCGAATTTTATACAAATCATTTTCTAAAACTCCTAAAATTATTGGTTTCAAGATTCCATTAAATCAAAATAATTTATTGTGTTCTTTAGGGCATCACTCGTTTTCGCTGAGATTTCCGTCATGGTTACTCGATCAGTTTCAAGCCATGCGGGGGCCGTTAGTGTCTTGCTGTCAGCATTAGAAGAATTTTAGTAATAAAATAAAAATCGGTAAACATTCACTCCAAAGCTAACTTAAATATTTACATGACTGACTTTGGATGTCATTAATTAATTATAATTTCGATAGGCATGCA